TCTTCGCCCATGCAAGTCTGCAGTGCGCGCAGCTCGTCTGCTAAGCATTCCAAATCAGGGTACGCTCATGCCACATGCTGTCGTCATCATAGTCCCGTCATGTCTCATCATAGTAGACCATGAAATGGGAACCACCGCTCCCATGCGTGGTTTTCAACCTCGCCTTCCAGAAGCCGGCTAACGAACGCCAGCAGTATCGCGGCGAGTTTCTTGGCCACTCCGGATATGCATGCACTCCTTCAATCTTCACGAGCACGCTGTGACAAAACTACCGGCAGCACCTGAATCAGCTGTATCCGTTGCCTCCAATGGATGCGTACCCTCTGATGAAGGCGCAGCACTTGCTGCTAACTTAGGAGATGGAAGCACAAAGTACAGGCATCAAAACTCATTGGAGCCTGATGGACATGTTAGAAGGAGCGCCATCGATCCCACCCGAACAAGGCATCTCTGACACTGCCTTGCACAGTAACCTCCCCCCCATCCATGCCAACGTCTGGCAAACAGCCAGAATTTGTGAGCCATGTTCATGTTGCAGGTGTTCTGCAGAATCCCACGGCAGACCACACAAGCTCTTCGGGCAATTGGCAGCCATGCAAGACGGACAAGGAAGTGTTAGCATGGATCGACAACGTTTACTGCCAAAAGAGCGTAGTTCTTGCTGGGGACGTTTTCAGACTTGAGCTTCTCTCAGCATTCCAATCGCGTAATGGATGGATTGACATGGATTGACCAGATGGGTGGTTGTCAAAATTATGGTCCCTTTTTGGATCCCGATTTTAATCCGGCACCTAATATTTAGGATACCCAAGAATGGATTATACTTTTGACAACCACCCAGATGTTCTCATCGTCACAGGCGCACGAATGCATACCAGCTAGGGGAATGTAGATTCGGAATCCTGTAATGCACAACACGCACATGCGTTCCCGTGCATTCCAAAAGCTTGCAACGGACAAGGGTTGGTGCACTCCCAAAATTTCCCAAGCTTATAGGGTAGGGGCATTCCCAAAACGCGTAACGGACAAGGGGCGTGTCTGAGCAAAGCTTGTAATCGCCAGGGCCCAGACATGACGGTCATTGCAAAGGTCCCAAATGATGGCGAAGTTGAATCAGTAAAATAGTCTGCTGTCTGCCATGTAGCAGCTCCATCAACGCACAGAACGCCAATTGCGAGCCTGGATCACGGCATCGTAGCCCGTGCGTGGGTCGTCAAGGCCGTAGCCGGTGATCTGGGCCTCGGAGGATGTGTCAACTAGCAGCAACCAAAGTGACCATTCCAAGCCTTAGACTCTTGATGGAAGGAATCTTCTTGCAAATTGCTGCAAGTTCTAAATGTGCGAGACCTAGGGTGCTGTAGCCTTTCCTGCATCAACCAAACGCTCCTGTCAGCTGTGACACCAGTTTGATGCCAGATTGCGCACTTGATGAAGCCAAGGATCATAAATAAGTCGCGGCGCCTGGGCATTAACGTCATCTTGAATCTGGTAGCATGCTTGTTTTCAATGGCTCCTGCGATGCTTAGAACCCAAAGTGGCAACTGAACAACTGCCTGCTACACCTGCGTGGTGGATAATGAATGAATGCATACTGCTCTGTTCGAAAGAAGATGCAAGAAGTAGCTCCCAGAATCTGGCGCACCATGCAAAATCCCAGCTCATCTGACGAAATAACCACGTCCACAGCTAGCATGCGTCTGGAACAAGATTTCCTGCCACTAGGTCAAGATGTCAGCCCCTGCTGCCTCGGCACGAAGCTGCGCAGCGTCCAGACCAAGCTTTACATCATCCCCGGGCTTGTAGGATGCAATAACCTCAGTGCTGCAAGAAGTCAAGAAGTCCACCAGGTCAGCAGGCCAATGCCCCCGCCCCACCCCTCTTACATGCCCCTTTGTATGGGCAGTCTCAGCACCCCTGAAATAAGAGAAAATATGATCAATGAACGCAGCTAACAGTGAACGCTTATAAGCTCATACGGACGTTCAAAAAACTGGAAATCACCTGGGCCTTATGAATGTTGTTCTATGATTATGTGCTCACATGCTTGCTCGCTTCATATCTTCCAAGGTGGAAACATGAGATAGCTGAATGCCCTCATCTTTGCGAGCTGACTTGAAGGGAAGAGGCACGTCCTCTTGGAAGCCCTTTGCTTTGTCAACAGCTCTGCATGTCTCTGCATTGCCTATGTACCTCCGCTCAGAAAAAGACCCACGCTTGCAGGAAAGTTGTGTTGGTTTGCACTGCTTTGCACAACCTGGTACACCTTTTTCTCACCTTGCCGATGCCACATTTTGTAGGCAGTGACTAGGTGCAATATGCTGAAGTTACTCGACTTGCAACATTACTATACAGCCAAAACTGATTGAAGCTAGTGCTTGCTTGCTGTGCAGTGGTGACAAACAACACCTCACTGCCATTTACGGGGCTGGGTGCTTGCGTCCTACTTTTCCCCAAGCTAGACTCTCTGTCGGCTCAGCGAGTGAGGACGATGTCATCAATCTTGAGAATCATGCGCACCTCGGTTGTAGCCCTGACTTCGCATGTCAAAGTCTTCCGAACGACCACGGAAAAGAGAGAGCTCCAGAACAGACATCAGTAATTTGGCTTAGGCACCGTCTCTGTGGCCATGTTCAGGGCACTTGTGGACACCAGCAGCGGCTGCACCACGTTCTCTTTGAACATGTTGCTGATGCAGCTTTTCCTTTCACGAAGATGCATCGCTTTCTGCTTCAGGGCTCGAAACAATTCAGATGATGAAACGCAGCCAGGCATCTTGACGTTGATGCCTGCAAACTTCTCGCCCTTGGCGTGTGCTGCTCGAAGCTGAGTGACAATCTCCACAGGCTGCATCCCCGCATTCTCTGCAAGCGTGTAGGGAACCTTAGGCCAGACCCGACATGAGACATGCAACCTCTTGCTCTGGACGTATCTTGCAGACTATCGGGGGACGAGGGGCCAGCTCTAGTGCCTCAGCATAATGCTCAATGCAAACCTGCGTGATGCCGCCCACGGTCCTGTCAAATCTGTCAAGCAGAGCACTGTGATTCAATGTCGCCCGCACTGTGCTTTCAGATGCGTTGCTAGACCGTCAGTGAGGCCTTGCCCAAGCTTCCAGCTTCTGTGCCACCTCCATCTCGGGCGCAGCCCCGCCGGCGATGAGCGCCTGCACTTTCTTTAAACCGACGTCTGATGACTTAGGCCCGCAAAGAAAGCCACCGCGCCTTCTTCTTGACAAGACTGCGCACGACGCAAAGTGCATCATGAATTGATCTGCAAGAGAGCTCAATCTCGCGAAATCAGAATTTGCTGCGAAGTACTCATGCAACTGATATTAAAGCAACAAGACCTCTGTGCTCAGTGCACTTAGGAGGTCTGTCAGAGGCAAGCCGAAATTGGGGCATGAAAGCGCAGCAGTTGCGGAGTGCGACGGTGGATGTAAGAACCTTGCCCCGCCTGGAACCCATAATCCTGTTTTTGTAGCGTATCGGTTAGCCCGCGATGAGGAGTGACATGTTGCATGAGAAGTACTGCTCAAGGCCTGTTCTCAAAAAGGTCAGCCCAATCAAAGGTGCCAGGATAGATTCCCAGGGCGGGAATGGGAGGGAAGCTAAGACACAGCCTGGAGGTTTGATCCTGCTGTGGAAAGTCCCGCAGCGCTCCAATGCATGCTAACTTGCGTCTGCAATTCTGCAACGCTGCACTGTAGAAGGTCAAGAGTGCAAGATTTCCTCCACGCACAGTACCTCTCAAGCGATTTACAGTGCTGCGCAATTGCCAGCCTTTCCGTCTCATCCAGCAGCATTTGGTTGGATGCACGGACCAGCACGGACACACAACCACCCTGCGGCAGAATTCTGAGCAGAATGCCAATCTGACCCTTCTTTCATTCATATTCGTTCATTCAGCTCTGGAGATCTCTGGAGTGGAATGATTGCAACACACACGGCAGAGCTGCTCTGGCTGCAGGTCGGCTTCATTGCATTTGAGAAGCTTGCAAAATGGCTTACTTGAGCAAAGTCAGAGTTGCAGTCTCCTTGGAAGTCTGCAGGCCGGTGAAGCGAACAATGCTGCCCAACCTCACCATGCCAATGATGTCCCATGGAGCAGCTTGTCCAAGCAATGCCGCTCGCTGAATGACTAGGCACACTTCAGAACATTTGGGTAAAACGTGCTTCTCAAAAGCAACTGAGCAACTCAGTGCCCAAATTCTCCTCATGGACAAGGTCGGCCTGCGCCAGACGAAATCAGAGGCATGCAGCAGCAGTCTCCGTGATGCCCTCCGCTTTTCAAGCCTTCGCCAGCTTGTCCGGTGTGAAGGTGTCGAGCGTTGCCGCAGCCTGCACGTTTGAGTCTCAGATGGTACTTGTTGCGTAGCGCGCACGCAGCCGCCAGACATCTGTGCGTTGGGGCTTGAACTTGCTTGGGCTGCCAGATTGCTGGTGAACTCAAGTCTTGCAGGACTCTGAGAAGGAAGGGCGGCAATTCTGCACCAGGCCTCCACACCCAAAATTTTGGAGATGAACTCAATATCATCACGCTCAATATCCTTGACGACCATGATTTTGGCCTGACAGAATTGGTCTGTCCCTTTGCGCTGCCTAGCTGGAGCCAGCAGAAGAAATGAGAGATGCAGAAAACCTTGAGCTCTGCCTTGGCACAGAAGTCCAATGAGAGATCTGTAACAGCGTCTCGCAGAATGGACTTCTGCACCAGCAGGACATTGCAGCCGGTCTTTGCGACCTGCTTCACCATCTTGGCCTAGCATCAGAGCTGCCGGATACGTACAGCCCCTCAGAAACTGCAAAAGCCAAGGTGTGGACCAGCAGCGTCCGCTCCTCCCGCAGAAGGCGATCCATCTGAGCGTAATCTCGGACCTCCGGACAAATCACACGCCTGCGGAGATGGATATGCCTGAAGTCTGAAGTCATCAAGGCCTGAATGTTGCTCTCCATGTCCGTCTTTGGGGCCGAGAGGCAGAACTGGATGAGCCCAATCTTTGCATCCTGCACTCTCTTTTGCTCAGTCCATCACACCCTCGCATCATGCAGCACAGTACTGGCTTCATTAATCACTCTGCCAGGCCTGCACTCTAGTCGGGCCACCAGCAGACCTGGACCTTGCAGCAGTGCCCAAAACCACTGCGTGATGTTACTACCGACCTGAGTCATACTATCGACACGCTGAGAGCCAGGCGCTTTCTGAGAAAGCACAAGCCCCTCAACCAGCTCAGTGTCATCGGTTGTTGCACCAAGCCTGCTTCCCCGTACACGCAGCTGTCGACTCAGAAAGGAGCCGAACCAGACTCCATGCTGCCAAGCAACTTTTTGACCAATCTAATGTCGTTCAGGTCAACGTTTGTGGCCGACTTGGGGTCTGTGACCTGCACCAGTGCGACCGGCTTGACTTTTAAGGCTTTACATCACTGTCCCTCTGTCCCTCACAGCACTTGCTTGAGGACAAAACCGCAGAGGAGTTTCAAACCAAACGGAAAGTATGAGCACCTTCAACACGGCATCGACCGCGATAGGTGCTAAGGTTTCGGACTCCTGGGAGACAACCTGCACAGGTTCTGAATTGTATGCTTTGATTGATTGATTGAAGCCTGTGAGCAGTCATGCTCCGCCCTATGAGGCAAGGCCCGAAGAGGAGGCCACAGCGCTGTTGGCAAGCAGCCCATCACTGTACATGTAACATGTCTGCACAGCTCCCGAAAACAGCAAGATTGATTGATTGAAGCCTGTGAGCAGTCATGCTCAGCCCTATGAGGCAATAGCACAGCATTGAATCAACTGGCCAGCAGCAGGATCAGCAGCAATAGTATTGATATTCTGCGGTCTTCTCCGAGGTAAGAAGTTGAACCAGGACAACCACAGTGCAAACCCACGTGTGGCTTGCCCGCATGCCTTGGAGTTCAGTGACGTGATGGCTGCCTGGAGAATTTGCTCCCGGTCGGCCAGATCCTTGGATGAAAACAGCCCAAGCACTGGAGGATTTCTGCCCCGCCTGCGTCGCGGATTTTGGGCAGGAGCTTAGTTCAATCATCCTAACACTCCACACTTCGATTCAAGGTACTACCGGCTGCGCCACGGCGTCAAGGATCTCTTCGGCCTCTTCAGTCAACTTTAAGCTCGACCACAGGCAGATGTTGCAAACAGCACGGGCAGCACCATCAGGTGAAAAAATACTTCTGAACGCCCCCTGGTGCCTTGTGCGCTGCCTGTAGGAAAGCCTGAATGCGCAAGGAGAGAAACGGCAAAAGCACATCATGTTTACTGAATCCGAATCCTGTTCATTGTATTTCATTGTCCTGCCCCAACTTGCCACTTCTGATACTCTTCCTCTTCCCTCTTCTCTCCGCCCCTCCTGGTGCGGTACACCTGTTCCTACTGACTTCTCATACTGTCATCACCTCTTGGAGGTTGCAAATACGAATGCGTCTTCAGGACATGATGCAAAAATTGTCAAGAGCGCCGACCTCAGTGATCGTCTGTGGATGTATTCCTTTCTTCAGCCTCGGTGACAGCAGGCCAGTAGGCGATTGAGGGAACCCCCTCGCCATTGGAACTCTGCTCACTGGGCAACTTGGTCTACATGAACGGAACAGAACTCACAAATTGGAGGTGTCGCGCAGCTACGCTGAAAGACACAACAGGGCTCCGTACAGTCGCTCTGCCGCGCCAAGCAAAGCTCCGGCGATGACGACCACTGAGGTGGTGCCGTCACCAGCTTCGATGTCCTCCAGGCTAGCGAGTTGCGAGGATACAAAACCCAGGCTCCCCAGCTTTTCGCCTATATGGATGCGGATGTGGCTTGCCGTCACGACCGCATTTCGAAGTCAGAGGTCATCGACCAGAGTTGCCACTCTCTGACAAGTGGTTTGCGAGCTCAGTTACAGAAAAATGTGATTGATACCCATAGGCTTTGACGTCTGTTCTGGCAAATCCTTGTCAATGAGGCATTCCTATGTTACTTTGCGACTCGTTCACTGTGCCGGAAAGCCTGAATCCTGTATGGAAAGCTCGTGCTCCGCGCTTGTCAAGTTTGTTGCGGGTCATGCCTGCGCTTTGGACAGCTCGGCCATCATCTTTGCCGTTGGATGCTGCAGCTTCAATTTCCTGGCGGCGGCAGCAGCAGCCAAACTGTCCAACTTGCATCAGCCTGCATTCACCTAAAAATAAAATTGCGCAAAGGGCTGTCATTATCTCTTCATTCCGCATAGCTTTACCATCATTCATTCTCAGCCAAGGTACGACAAAATGGTGGCACCGTCGTTTGAGATCAGCACCTCACCTGTGGACGTCTTGCTGTGAAATATCTGCAGCACTGGTCATTTCGGGGTTCTCATATGAGATGTGCTACCAGGTCATAGCAGATGTCGTAGCAATCTTCCCACGCCCTCAGTCCTCGCGGCTCCTGGATCATCTTGTCCATGCCTCGAGGTCCAAGAGATGTCCTGCAGGTGCTTCATCCTTTATAATCAATAATCAAGACCAAGAAGCCAATCTACCTTGAGCAGCAGGCTTCAGACCTTCTGCACTGGTTGGTCCTGACAGTGTCGGACACTGCCTTTGCCGCCAGGATGTTTGCCAAACGCACATCCTGCCTTGGTGAGACAGACTTCAGCCGTTTTAATCAAAGACATCGCCTATTCACTGCTGCCCCAGCATGAGGCTGAGACCCTTTTTCATCATTCGCCTGACGGGCATGCAGAATGCTGGAGGTTCACTGTCTCCAGCTTCCAACAGAACCTATCCCAACCCGTGCGCCGCCTTTTGCCTCCCCTCGCCGTTAACTGGCGCGGTCATGGCGGCCCCCTCGCTACGACCGGCACTGAGTCTTTCAGCTGCGGAGAGTCGAAAGTGCGAAGCTTCACGAATTCCTGCTGCATTCCATGAAAATGTCCACAGAACTGTCAGTAACTACTAGAATTACTAGAACCTCCTGATCTGTCTCCTTCGTCAGATCCTTTCAAAGTCTCGTTGCTGCACAGCACCTTTCCTAGACCAAACTGGGACTCCTGCAATGTCCGATGACGTTGCTAGGCGCCTGTAAGGCAAGATGCCGCAACATACAACAACTTCCAGATGCAGTTTCCAGGGTCATGCCGGCCTGCAGAGGTCTCGACCTCGCTCCGTGGACGCATCCAAGGCCAAGGACCGCTTTCCGAGATTGCAACCTGATATGACAGGCCGCACAAGCCCGTCGAGCAACGTGAACAGCCACAGGAGCTGAGGCTAGCAGCTCGAGTCTCCGGAAACTGTTCCATGATCCATGACCAGGTTTCGGGGAAATACAAATCAATGCGACCCACCAAAGTCCAATACACCCGTGCGCATCAGCAACAGACGTCACCACTTACTGCTCTTCTGTTCCGCAACACGGTAACCGAATAGCATCGATCAGGGCGGACCAAACGGTCAGGCCAACACCAATACTTACAAATTGAACAAGGTGTACAGAAAGGGATCTGCAGACTTGATGCAAGCACTGTCCAATAGTCTCCTGCCGAGGCACAAGAGAAATAGCTGGTCACTTGCGTCCCATCACCCCGCAATCGCCACGAGCGCGTCACATCGCCACCGGTTCTAAGTCGAAGAGGTCAGTCCAAAAGATTCAAGGTGATACAATGCAATCAGAAAGGCCATGCTCGAGTGTCCAGACATGCATGCTCAGAACTTCGCTTGCGGTTCTCAACCTGTCAAGGTAGGAGTTGGCGAAAGCGCTTGATGCAATGAAAGCGTATACCCACGAAACTTTCCTTTAAGTATCTTCTGTGGCATTGCAATACCTATCTCCTTTGCGCAGGCTGCAAAGTGTGTTGCAAGCTCGCCTTCACAACGTCAGCACCCAATTCTGCAAGGAACTGGCCAACGGAAGGCCCTGCAAGCACCTTCCGAGAAGCTGAAAAAGACAGAAACAGTTCACCACCACATGAACTGACAAAGCAAAGACAACCGACGGCGGGCGCGCTGTCATTCTGAAAGCATACGTGTCGAGACAGTGTAGGCTGAATCACTGAATGGATCTGAGACAAGGCACCTCTCCCAACATGTCCCAACATGAGCTGCGGTCCACCCGGCTGAGCTAAGAACACTGGCCAGCTCCAGGACGCGGATGCCTTCCAGGTCTCGTCAATTGCTTGTGACACCATGCTCTGTGCACTTGCATGCCTGCTAAAGGCGCAGGCGGCGCACTGCTGGCGACATGCCGCACCCACGGCCGGCCTGACTTGCTTGACACGTCATCAACCTGCTCCTCAAAACTGGACCATATGGACCATAAGCAGCTTTCAATGGAAGCTTCTGAGTGTCTTACATGCGAGCCAACATCTGCGTAGCCGCAAGCTGTGGTGATGGCGGTGCATCACTTGGCTGTCAAATCATACTAAATTTACATGGTGCTGGACATATCCTTGCAGTCGTGTCGTCCGCACTCACATAGATTGTGTCTGTCTGTTTGATTGAGCCATCTACTTTGCAGCTTCCTTTGAGCATCTTTGAGCAGGAGCTATGCCGGTCGCATATTGCAAGTCAAAGCAGCTCCCCAACATGCACACAAACTTTCACACGTAAGTGCGTAAGTTAAACTATTGGAGGGGAGAAGGTGGGCGAACCAGTTGTCAGCGAGTCCGGCTTCCCTGTGACACACGACAGGGATGTACTCCAAATGTTGCACGACATTCTGGGCTCACAGTCGGCTTGCCCCTTTGATGCCTTTCCAGCAACGGCTCGTGTAGTGTGGGAGCCTGGCAGCTTTCGAGGCATGTGCGACTTGCCAGCATGCAACCACATCTTGCAATTGTATTGAAACACCTTGGACAGCGGACGTCGGCAAGCAAACCTACCCCAGCCGGCCTCAGTTACAGGTGAGTCTTGATCCGACTCGGAATCAACGGTGAGCTCCTGCAAGGAACTGCATGGTGGCCAACGCAAACCATGTCTACGGCTCCAGGGAACATCTACGGAGCCCGATTTGAGCAAGTACAAAGCACGTGAATGTCACCTGTTGCACGACACAGATGCGAAACTGCCGCACAAATGCTCCATCAACCACACGGCTTTAGAGACACATCTCCTCTGGGAAGTCCGTTGTGGAACTGGCAGTCTGTATGCAGTTTGTCCGCGCAGCTCAGCAGTTGGCAACGGTGAGAGCAACTAGTTCGGGACTGCAGCGCAAGCAGCGTTGCAGAAGATTGTTTACAAACATGGCAGCAGCACATTGGGATGAGGCATACCACCACCACAACTGGCAGATGATCAAGCCGAAGTGCCCACAACAATGCATGGTTCCAGGATGCACAGCGATCAGCCAAGCCTGTGGGTAGCCACTCAGAGCAGAGAGCCAGTAGCAAATCCACTCCGGTGGAACTGCAAATGCACAAGGTGATATTGCAAAGTGCACTGCGAAGCACTGTAAAAGTAAAAGACCATTGCTCCATCATCTGGCTAACCGAAACACTCAGATGATCGCGGAGGGGCCATGGAACTACCCCAGCCTGCAATGCAAATGACAGAAGAGGTGTCTGCAGGCTGTGCAAAGTTTTGAGGCTTTGGCCAAGCAGGCAAACTGCTCGGACCAGAAACAGCGCTGGGCACAGCACCTGATTTCACTGCTGTAGTGCGCTGCTTCACTTCCCGCTCATCTACTTTGTCAAGTTGCGGAAACGACGCCCACTCTGGTGATGAGCATCCTCCTCATCAGAGCAAGAGAAATGGAATCCCCTGTGGCCGCCCGAAGCGGCTGTCGGCCGCAATGGCAGCTAGCCTATGCCCTCACATGATTTCAAACGTTAAAAGACGAAACCAAGAAATGCACAAAGCCTGAAGACAAGGGAGAGATCCTTTCCTCGCGCTTCTCTGGACTTCGCGCGGCCAATGCTAACATTAACCATCGCTAATCTCTACTGCGCACAGATCAGAGGTATAACAACTGCCTGGAACAGCTTGCCCTAGCATAATGATGGCCTTGATATGTGCGAGGCGCTAGATCAGCCTACATGAGCAGAGGGCCGGCTAGGGCTGCCCAAAGAAAGAATCACAATGCTTTGTTAAAGATATCTCAATGGGATGGTGGGTATTACTGAATCGCCTGCTGTGTCTGGTAGAGACACAGGCCGCCTGCTCATGGACTAGTATATACATGAAACGGTTGCATTCAGGCGTCTGCCTGCTTACAAGCATTAGCCCTCACCACTGCGCAGCTTTGGAATGAAACCCGCTGCAGCTCGAGAACCTACCTAACTTCCACAAAGAGAACACGAACACCGAGCGTGATCCGCCCTGAATTCCTGCCCGACAGAGGTGGTGCGATGAGCCTCTTGTCAGAGTCTTTCAGGAGCATAAAGGCCCCTTTGCTTAGCTGCATTTCCCTTGCGGCTCCCTCCTTGGCAATTCGCAAGGAGCCATCCAGCACGTGCAGTATACCTGGGCCCTGGACTGAAACTGTACAGGGCTCCGCTTCAGGACGGTCTGGCAGCGCCAGGACTCGGCTGGTCAATCTGGATGTGCAAATCCCAACAAACTCGCTGGCCTCCAAGGCTTGCAGGGGTGCCTGCAGAGCTGGCAGCTGAAGTCGTCGCGGTGCCGCTTGCGACGCCTTGGACGTGGTCATGTCCACCTCAACCGCCACCAAACTCGGCGTTCGAGACTTGGCGGTTCTTTCATAAACGAGCCGCTCGTTGCGCCAAGTTTGAATCGGAGGCATGCGGCACCGCTTGGGGAGAGACCGCTTCGCAGCTGTGTCAAGTGACTGCCAGGTCTCAAAGGCACTTGCTGGGATCTTCGCCAGGGCCGGCACTCGCAGCAGCCGCTGCTGTCTTGGTGGTGGCTGCAGAGTATTCGGCCTCTCCATCCCCTGAACCTTCATCCGTGTCGAAGATTTGGCTTTGGATGCCCTGCTCGGAGTCTTGTGTCTAACTCGATGCGATGGACATTCTGCAGAGACGGTTCGCAAGATGTCAGCAAGGCTGAACCGTGCGCGCGCCTGTCGTGGAGGCTCCAACAGCTTCCGCTTCCGCTCAGGGAGCAAGGCCGTGCTGGCCTTGCTGGCCTTCGGCCGTGGCGGCGGGGTTGGTGTCAACGGCGGCAAGCCTCTCAATCTTCGGCTTCGCCTCGGAGTTACTACAAGCGCCTTGCTCGTGCCTGGAGAGGAGGCGCGTAGCAAATCTTTGGGAGGTGCAGTACTGCTGGATGGCGCTTCGACATCATTGTTCAGATCGGCGGCCTCTCTGGCGTCAGCACCTTCTTCGGTGTGAATCACAACTTGGTCTCCAGGCTCCAGCGGACTGTTCCCGGAAGATGGCAGAGGATACTTTGCCTCTGCCGATGAAGATGCGGTCGCGAGCTCTGAAAGAGTTATGGGACTCGATGACCCCGACTCTTCTATGCGACAGCCATCTTGCTGCCAATCTATGAGTTCTGCATTGTCAGATTTCTGCCGCGAAGAGCGCGCAGTGCACTTCCAGAAAGGGTTCTTCATCAGAGCATCAGACAAGCGCGATGCAATGCGCGCCATGGCCGTGGGAAGCCTGACCCTGCACGGATAACAACTGAAGGATAATTTGGCAGCTACGCCTTGACCACTGGCAGGTCCTGCAAAATGCTCCTCCTACGGTGCTGTTGTTTCTTTTTTCAAGGACAAGTCCAAGCTTCATGAAGAAGAAGGCACTCGCTGAGCTCTGGTCACTGGGGGGTCTTTCCGACAAATCTCAGCCAGCTGGGTCAACACCTGCAGCTTTACATGTGTTGTTGCATGTTGAGGCTTGCCTGCTCCCGAACAGGTCTTGCTCTGTATTACTGTACTGAGACTTGTGTTTTCACTCCAAGTCCTTGCGCGAATGTACTTGAAAGAAAGGGGGCCCTGAGAAGCTGGCCATCATGCCATAGTAAAGCATCGACCAGGCCAGTGTAACCTTGGAGCAACATCGACAGATGCGGGCAGATTTCCGCAGTGCTCCAGGGGCAGCCCTTTCAGGTCCGCACGTAAAGGAAGCCTATAATGCATGACAGATAGGCCCGAAGATGGTGATACCTTGACAGAGCCGAAGCATGGACTGCAAAATTGGGCTCGGATGCTGACCAGCTTGTCACAGAAGGCTGAGCCCGCATCGCGCAAAGCAGGTATGTGCAGACTGCAACAGCAATGACCTTAGACCGGTGATCCTGTCAATTCATATACTGCAGCAATAGGCTTTTGAAGCGATATGAAGCGGTCTTCTTACCGCAGATTTGTGCGTCGATCTTGTGCACACGCTTTTGACCCCTCGCCCAACGAGGCATGAATGCATTTCCACTTGTTCTTCGCTCGACTCAGGTTTTGCAACACCTTGCGATAATCTTGTCTGAACATGTTTTGTTATGGATGGCAATATCACCATAAGCATAGTTCCGCATGGCCAAAAGGCACGAGCACATCCGCCAAGAAAAGGCATTTGAAGCCGCTTTCGTGTAGATATTGTTTCGCCAACATTGTCCACACACAAGCGCAGCATTCTTTCTTGTCCGTCCCCCGCACCGGAATTTCATGAATACGAACTTCTATCTGGATGCATCAGTTACGATAAGGCTTTGAAAGCTCTCTACTTGTGGACCAGACCTTCTCTAGACCGGATCTTCTCTAGACAAGTCTCGCTGCACATGCAGTCCCCGCAAAAAATAACTCCCCGGAATGCCCTTGTCGTAGTTCAGTTGGCCTCGTGGTTTCAGAGCTTCACATGATGAATAAGTTCCTGCCTGGCTTTGGTGTGTTTCACAAAAGCTGTGGATCAAAGATTTGGCCACGTCACTTGCGATGGCTCTGCTTGACACTAGGAGGGGTCTCCTTGCTCCCTCTTTTCGATGTTCCTCCTTGGTTTACGTGTTGGTCAGACTGCCCTTGCAGATTTTGATAACCCACTATCAGGGCGGGGGACAGCAAGCTTGCCATGCATTTTGGACAACCCTCAGCTTCAAAGCATCTGAGGTCCACGCTAGAAAGTAGCACGCGATGTTGATGCACACCTTGGGATGTGAGAACTGCCAGCTGCCCATCGCAAGCTCACCACTCTTTGGCATCTAGCGTTGTCACATCTCGACTTGAGAATCCGAACATTGTCCTTGATACTACGGTCGCTCAAGTTTCAAGGATAACAATGAACATGTACATGTGCAGAATGTGACTGCAGATGGATGAACACTGTGGAGGACAAGCTCAGCGACTAAGATACTGGGATCTGCAGAATCATTGGGAACCTAGTCACGCACTTGATTCTGAATACTGCGCGCCGCAGAAAACATGCTCATGATGACGCAAGTTATCTGAAGGATGTGCCGCGCCTCTCTGATAAAGAGACAAGACACCCCCATCTTACTGCGGTAGCTATCAGGGTGGGTGGGAGGGAAAGAAAGTAAGTGCAGCTGGACCAAAAGGAGACTCGGGCCCAAGCTGCATTTACATCATGAACATGTTCAAGGTTGGATGAGGTCCTACCCAACCAACCTACACATTCAACACCAAGCTTAAAAGTAGGAGGCATACAAAAGCCCCCTCACGTCTCAAGTGCCACTTTCTGATGACCCTTGCGTTGGACCATAGTAACTGTGCAAATGGCTTCAAATGGAATCATGCTCTCGCTGACAAGAGGGGCTTGTTGCAGGGACCGCTTTACTTGAATAAGTTCTTGATCAGCTCACTGCGCACTTCAGTATTGAGACAGGGCACGGTCTAGCAAGGATTAGGCCCAGACCACCAAGCAGTCCAGCAGTGGCAGCGGGACAACGTTGATGGCATAGTGGAGCTGGCCGGCGACAGTTTGATCTTGATCGACGCCATGCACTGCGGCTACGCAGGCGTGACTACAACATGACTTACATCAGTTGGTCACAGCCCAGTGCACATTGCCATTCCAAACTCTGCAAGCCACCTGCGCGAAAAAGGAGACAACGACAGAGAATGCCTCGTTTCAGCCGCAAAGGCGAGCTCCGACTGACAGCTGAGGGAGCGCCGGTCAACTTCGGGGAGCTGCCGCACTTTGTGGCAACTTTGCATAATCAGTGAACCTGCTGGAGAATAGGGAAGCATGCTTGGTATATTGCCAAGGCCGTCGCAGACAGGTACACGACTGTCGGACAGAGCGAAATCAAGTCCCACAGCCACCTTATGGCGCTTGCTACCCGCAGCAGAAATGTGTAAAAACAAACACGAAACTCAAATGTAGACACAATGAAGTTCAACTAAGGAAGCCCGCTGCATTTGAGTCGGACCAAGCTGGTCCAGCAGGTTGGTCAGGTGTCCCTCCTGCATACCCCTGAAGGCATCTCAGCACCAGTAGAATCGTTTGCACTTAAGCTGCAACCCGGGGACATGGTATAATATCTGAGACTATGGGAGCTTTTGAAAACACTCTGCACTTTTGCTGCTTACCAAAAACTCCACTGCAAGCCATCCTCGTTCTCAATCTCCAAGAGCAAGCTTAGACCTTAGCATCACTCACACTCCTGGCAGCAGCATCAGCATAGCTCACAACAGGGGAATAACCCATCCATCTACTCTCCTACAGTACCTGTGGACAGCGTCGAATTTCTGGAGATTCGCCCCAATGCCAACACTTTGCTTGCAGGAAGGCTGTTTCTGCGTGCCTTTGCGATTCTTCTAGCGAGGACTATGCGAGGGATTCGTTGTGAAATCTAGTATGGAAATGGCAGAAAACAACGGCAGTTGTGTTTGTGCGCGTCATGCTTGGGTTCTCGTTCCTACTCAGGTGTCCTGGGGACGAGGCATCGCACAGCGTTAGCGATACAAAGGCCACGTGCTAGAAGGCGGCGGCTCTTCCTCAGCTCGGCAACTCACTCACGAGCCAATGAAAAGGCCCTGAAGTCTTAGAACTTCTCAGGCTGCGGCATGCCAGGCAACATCGGCCGTGGCGTGGAGGCCCTTCAAAGGTTCTGGATTCCGGATTCCGGATTCTGCTTCTGGGAACTGTCTGGAACTTCCATGAACTTCCCATCATCCCCTGGCCTGGGCCTTCGTGGAATCCTCAGCTCCACAATGTGCTGACAAACAATTCAGAAGGCTTGTGCTTGTTACTATACTCCGGTGCCTAACTCAATTTTGCACGGGTCCCCCTCCGTTTTACGTTTATGGGCCACCAATACATGTAAAATCAAGGTTGCTTCCCCCTCAATGAATATCCCATCAAAATTTGAGCTGGATGTCTCAAACTTGTTCTTTCTCTTATCTCCGTCTGCTGGCCAGTTGCTTGCACGCTGCTTGCACTCACAACCACTCACAATTTGCCGGAAACAAGGAGCGAGCATGCACAAAGATCACACACGGCAAATAAGTTCTTCCATTGTTGTATAGCAGATCTGGAAATTCTCCCACAGGGCAAAAAATGTCAAATGGAGGGGGCCTGGCTTGGCTGACTAATTCCCACGTCTCCGGGCCCGACATTGATATTCGAGAAATGATGTACGGGCCCCGCCGTTTTACATTACTAGGCGTGGTGCTGTTACCATGCTGCATTTGGACAGCTGAACGTCTGTTAGACGTACCCATTACAATTCTTGGGTCTGGGCAGAAGCGCCCCACCGACGGCCGCCGCTGCGTAGAGCAAGAAACAGGCCTCTCTTCTTTCACGTCCAAGCTTTGGTGGTTCTGATTCCAGAGGCAACTGATGCAGTCATGAACCTTGAACCAAGTTGTGTGGCATTGATGCTTACGCCCATGAACAACTGCCTTTGTCTTGCTTCATCACCTCTACTTGGATCTGCCGCAAGGAGAACTAGGCTTTTGACCCACTCGACTCGCAGCAGAACATCCCTGCCAAGCCCATTGCCGTTTGATTCGTTCATATATCCTTCTCGCTTACTCCAGCGCGTAAGTGATGCGGCATGCTGCAGCCGTCGCACATGCACTCACAAGCATCCACCTGTCATCTATCCAGACGGGCTCCGTCTGAAACCATCCTGGCAAGTCTGGATGCATAAGCTCCAAAACCCACGTGACTGGAAGGTATTCAGCCACAGCAATTGACCGACACTATGGGTCTGTACTGAGATGGTTTCAATTCAAACGCGAATGTTGCATTTGGCCTGTTGTACTCGCCGGGATGGCGACGTCGGTGGCCGCTGCCTGCACACTTTTGGATAAAAGTGCTCGACACTGTACTACCATCTGATGACATGTCGCTGTGCGGCTGCATAAGCACTTTCACTACGAAGCGCAATTAAAACTACTGAAAAACGCTGTGCACGTCAAGCCGCCTGTGGCTTCCCCATGACAACGGCACTGTCTGGGAAAGGACACAAGATGCCTATGAGGCAATTGGTACAAGTAGCTGTAAGGTATCTGATTTGTAGGTGTGGGGATGCCTCCCTCGCGAGAAAAAAACCGTGTCGCTGTCTTGCTGGCAGCCTTTGTCAGATGTTGGCTGCAACGGGTTACATTCAGGGATCTAAACTTATTTGGGATTAGCCACAGGAGGCCATCGTGTACCTTAGCGCCTTGCTATGATGTTTCTAACGATTCTAGCCTGGAACACCAGTCAAGAGCTACGATTCTCGCAGTTCACCACGGCTCTGCCTCGACAATGAGCCACTGGGTACAGCATGTCTCTGGTAGCCACCACTCTGCACTGAAAACGGGCCTACACTTCACTGCCCCCGTATGGGCATCACCAATCATTCAGTGCGACATGTTCAAGTGCCAATTCAATTGTTCAACCATGCTAGTGCTTGTGTCAGCAGAATGCACGCTCAGCACACACTCTTTTTTAGGCAAACTACCCAAGCCGACAGCCTCATGACAGCGCTTACAGCAGATAACGTAGGTGCACAGATCATCAGCCAAACCAGCATTGCTGCTGCAAATACCAATCCCAGAAGCAACTGCTCATCTGGCAGCACACGTAATCTTCCAACGAGTTTCTACATGCCAGCCCTTGCATTGCAAGAGGTCAAGGATGCAACGATGCTGAAGCGCGGAATCCCGAAGCGCTCTTCAAATGCCTACAACAAGACTCCAGAGCTCAGCTTCCTTCAAGCACCTGCTCCTCTTCAAGCTCGGCAAGCATGCGATTGTTTTTGCCACGATAGACAAGAGCTGGGAGCAGGCATCCAATTCCAGCGACACAGATTTCGAAGATACTGTATGCGGAACCCCAAGAGGCGCAAGTTTCGCCCTGACTGGTCAACACGCCTTGTGATAAAGGAATAAAGAAAACTTGTAAGAGTATAGCAGAATTGAATAGCAGCGCCGTTGTGATGTCTGCAGGAGTTGGGTAGGTCTCCTCTACAGCATTTGACAGCAAGGCGGGCAGCGCGCTCATCATAAACGTGCCAAAGAAGGTTGTTGTGATCAGAAGCCCACGTAGATTGTCAGGGCGTAGCATGGCAAGAAATAAAAGACCAAAACTTACCGCAGAAACAATTGAACATCGCAGGATTGTCCGGTAGGCTCGAGTTGCGCCCAACAGCGAACCGGTCCCAAGTGAACCGACAACGCCTCCAAGCATGAACATGCCACTAGCAATGCCTGCATCCGTGGAGGTGTAGCCACAGTTGCTGGCAATCTTCCCAAATAGTGTCAGCGTAGCTGCTGCAAGGGCCATCCCACAATTGAAAATGATTAGAATGAGACAGAAATTGGGTCGGCGCATAAGCTTCAAGCCCTCTTCACATGTGTCACTTCGAACTGTGGAGGAGCTCACAACTGCTCCTGGAGCGTCTACAAATTGCCCAGTTGTCCACAGCGCCATGAACGCGCTCAATGAGGCTTGACCTGCCAAAAGCTGCTCCGTCCCCTGCGCCTCATAGCCAGTAACTACAAAACCCGCAATGGCTGAGCCAAGCCCTTGTCCAAAGATAGGGCTCAGTGCGCCTGCTGCGAGCACACCCTCTCGCTCACGCCGTCCAAACCAGGCATTTGCAAAAACGGCCGGGGTGTTCATGATCAACGGGGAAGCCAAGGCTGCAGTACCTTGACCGACAAAGAGAAAGACGAATGCAAACGGTCCCGACACAGACCGAAAGGCTGAATCCGCGACCACGCGAATGAGACTACCAATCAATTGCAGCCAGCAAGCGACTTTCATGACTCTGGCTAGCCCAGAGCTTCTCAAGAGAGCCGTGCAAATCCAGGAGCCAGGCACATAGACAGCGTTGCAAAGCACTGCCAGGGAGGCAACATACTGCTCTGGAATGTTATATCTCCTTGCTGTCGCATCCGGAATCGCAGCGAACGTCAGCCACAGGGTCTGGTTTAAGATACCCAAAGCCATATAAATACAGAGCATGTGCCATCTTCGTGAGTCCAGGACTGCAGATCTCTCTCTGCTGAGGGTACTCGCAGGGCTGCTGTCCTCCACACGGCTTGTATGAAGCATGACCGTGAGGCGCCATCCTACGTTTTCATTGCGCAGCGGCTGGAGCAAAAGGAGCCACGCATGGCAACAAGGCAGTGATTCTGGTCAAGTTGCAAGCAAGTCTGGTAACATCCATGCTGAAATCATCCATCCCTTACAGCTCACCTTTTTCATTCTAGACAACTCAATCCACGCCAAAACATTCCCAAACCCTTTCCATGACAGCCTCGAGCACTGTGTCATCCACTTGTAGCTGCAGGATGCTGCAAGCACCATCTGTACCATACTGCTACACAACAAGCTGGAAAGTCCGCCCAGTCTCTTGCTGTAATTTTAAGAGTTTGAACATGCCAAAGCAACGAGAGCACTCTCCTAAGACCACACCGATACAATCTCTGACCTCTGACCTCGGTAACTTGAAGAGCCGTACGAAACGCAAGAAGCGTTGATCACAGTTAAGCAAGCTTGGACTCACCTCATCTTGAAGCGCGAGTGTCGAAACTCGATGGTCCTTCTTTTTGTAGAGCAGTTGTGCTGGGTCCCTGTAGGTTCATCTAGTGCAGTATCATAAACAGTCATAGACCTCATTCGCACCTGAAATAGCGACGTAAAGCAGCCCACTCCAAGAACACCACTCAAATCATTAAAAAAAAGCACAGATTCCGGAACCAAGCAACATTTTGGGGTCATACCCAGGAAGATGCAACCATGGCAACCATGATAACTCGGGCTGCATGTGTTTTTTGGAACGCCACTTTGCCTCCATCGGTATGCTCAAGACCTTGTTGTCAGGTGAAGGTGAAAATTGCTGGCGATGGTCTCTCCAGCGCGCCAGACGAAGATCACATGGCATCTCACAGATCTGTGACTTAACACATTGAAGGTATGGAAATCTCGATGCGCAGCAATCACAGCACAGCAATCACAGCAAGGCGTGGCACCTCTCAACAGAGCGAGCTCTGTTGCTGTTAGATGCGGAGGAACCACGCACCAACTGCCAGTGCCACGGAATCGACGCAAATCTGAAAGAATATTTATTGAGCTGGAGTAAAGAAGAAACAACTGGTACTGTTTGATCTTGATTATGCTTTTTGGCTTCTCGTGCTTCGCTGGGACCGCTACGAGGTCCTACCAACCCTGCGAGCCAAAACGTGATAATGCTCCATGCGAGAGCTGAGCACGATTTCAGGTAAAAACTGAAAGGATGATCCTCGCAAGAGCTCGATTTCCAGTGAAAATGGACCGTACTCCAAGAGAATGATCTAGGCAAGAGCTCGACTTTTAGCCAGCATGTGAGGACGCTCCACGCGAGAGCGCCATTTCGAGCCAAAATGCAAACGCACAGTCAAAACGTGATTCGTGAAACCCGATGACAATATGAAAAGGAGTCCCTTAAGCTTGCTGAAGGCTGGCTTCTTGATTGCGAGGATTGCGGGCGTCAGCTGCCCTTGGCAGCAACCGGCAATGGTGTATTCACTGCAGCGGACCTTGCCAGATGAGCTACATGCTCATACCCGTGCTATCTACCTACCATACAGAGGGAAGAGCCATCACTCTGTTGAGACACTCTTCAGGTCCAGGTACTTCCGCTTTCGCCGAGCCTCACATGTGCCAAACATAGTTCTCCACTGAAAACAGCATGCTTGTGTTAGGTCCCCTTGGCGGCCATGAAAGGACTGAAAAGCAGGCCTCGATCCTCTTCATTTCCTCCACGTACTCCTTGGGTGGCCTACCACCTCCCCACTTGATCTCCTCGTAGCTTCCCAGCTCATCGCCTGGTAGAGACGTAGTCAAATATGCTTTACGTGGGATCAGCTGCGATCCTCAGGGCGGCGCTAAACATGAGCCGCCAGACCTGGAAGACGCCGAAAGCCGCGACGGCAAGGAAGAGGCCCATCATCCACGTGGCGAAGGTCCAGCCATCAATCGGTTCGCTCATGAATGGCAGCTGGACTGGCACAGGACCCACCTGTGGCAGGCTCTCAGGATTATGGATCTTTCAAGCATGCCAGCTTCCAATACACCAGCCTTCATGGCCACCTGGGACCGTGCTGGTGGTGCTGGAGTGCCAAGAGGGCGGCCCCCGTTGACAAAAGCGAGGCCCACGCATGTGATCAAGAGCAGGCCAAGACCTCGGCTGTTGCCGCATCAACCATATAACAGAATCCAATTCCCTGCGCATTCCCTTTGCGTACTTCCAAGTTCTCCCCACTCAATCACCTCATTAGCCAATGCGCACGCTGCCCGCTCAGTCTCAGCCACGGACCCACTGTGGATCTTCGTCGGGCAGCCATGGCTGGAACAGCAACAAGTCCACTTAAACTGGAACAAAAAAACACACCACACGCTAATGCACCGGCTTTCATACTTCTTGCAGGGACAGCCTCCTACAACTGCTGAGCGTGGAGCAGAGTGGGGTCCGCGTTCCCTCAAGCATAGCTTCTTCCAGGCAAAGTGGCAGCTCAAGTCAACGTGAGCGCGTGACATGAAAAGAAACATAGCAACTTCAAGTGCTGAGCCTCCAGCGTCTTGTGGAGTTGACTGCTGGAGCACCGCCAGGCTTCTCATCTCCCAAAGCATTTTTTGGCACTTGCTCACTTTGGCACACGATTCGTGCCCTGTACACGAGTCTTTCCGATGCCCTTGTAAAGAGGTTGATGGTGCAATTTGTTGGGCAAGATCTGCTCGTATGCTCCTGTCAACTTACAAGGGCCCGTTAGCAGATTTTATTTCATTCTTCGGCAAAGTCGAATGGAGGCGAATTGCCTCAGCCGAATTGAGAGCTGTCCTGGTCCACATGCGTCTTGCGCACCATGCCATGTACTACTGGCAGGCGAAGTAAGTGAGACTGGTGAGACATAAGGTAACATCTACCATTCTGAGTCACCATCGCCAAACCTGGCCAGCGACTTGATGATACGTTGCCAAGGAACTTCAAAGAAGACCCGAGACACCAGAAGGATGCCGGCCCAACAAATTACACTTATATCTTATTATATCTTCATACAAATCAACTCAAGCACTCGGGCCGGCCAGCCACCCCCACCACCATCGCCGCTGTCATCACCGCCGCCTGTGAAACGCTTGCTCTTTGGGGACGTCGGCCAGTGCGTTTGTAATTCTGCGAGCTTCCATTTCACTTGCTGGTTGGATTGAGAGGGAGAACTTTTTTGAAACGCAGTTGGCACTTGGCTTGAGCAAGACACTTCCGAACAGCACGCAAAAGTCCTGCGCCTCCTCCAAACCTGTCAAGCTGAAGTCGAGGCATAAATGGGGTAAGAGGCCACACATCTGACAAGCTTTCTGGCTTGGTGCATAACATCTCAAGTTTGCATTCGATGTTGAGTGTGTACTGAAGCCGCCACACAACCAATAAACCAACAACTTTACTGCCACACAGACGGACTAAGCCCCAACAAGAACCCGCTTCCGGATTTTATGCTTCCTTGCCGAAACCCTCATCCAATCTGTTTTGGCCAGCCACCTTACCGAAAAGCATTTGTAGGATTTTCGAATTTGGAAGTGCACGGCTAGTTGAGGTATAAAAAACTCAGCGAGGTTCAGTTGTAACATGCACCGGTTCACTGCGCATGCCGCAGTTTTGCGGAGCAAGGTGCCGCATAACTAAGGAAAAGTAGCTGGCAGGAAGGTCTACCTCCTCCTGGTTGGACACTGCGCAGGGTATCAAGGCATCCGGCTTCCAACGGGCTTCCGATGACCAACATCCTGGTCTGCTCTGCACCGGGCAGAAAAAGCGGCACGACAGGCAAGGATTAGTTTTCTGATTGGACAGAAATAAATGTTACAACTGGCAGAAATAAGTGTTATGATGGGGCAGAAATAAGTTTTGAGATGGGGCCTGATGGAGCGGAAGTGAATCCGGTTCTCGTAAGTCCGGTTTTTAGGCGGCTGCACGGAGTCTGCCCAGGTGACACCCTCGGACATCCTGTGCCAGGACAGTACCGCTGCCTTCTGCGGGCAGCGCGCACGACGGCCACGATGTCTGCAAGACGGGCCGAGCTTCAGTGTGACGCAGCGACGTGCTGGCCTTCATAAATTCGTGGAGCATGATACCGGGTAAAATGCGATTCAATCAAAAGCCAAGCAGTCTTTTCAGGAAGGCGGGATGGCCCTTTTTGGAGCCACTCTTCAGCGTCGACGGCAAGAGAAACTGCAAACAACTCCTGCCAGAAAAGAACAAAACTGAACGAGCCGCTGAGCACTCCTGCAAACAACCGACTTACTAGCCCAACTAGTCTGAGCAAAAAATGCCGGAAGCTCTTGGAAGTTCGCATCCCCAATATCAAGTTTTGGTCCTGAAAGGCCTACCACAAGACACTTAGCACCACGTTCATCATAAAGACCTTCAGGCCCCAGCCGATTGAGTGCACTTAACCCGCCCAAGGCAAAAAAAGTGAGCAGGCGGGCCGATATATGAAGAGAGCAATGTGTCCAAAACTGCGTGAAGCAGCAACTGCACAAGCTGCTGCCTGCAACAGCCCATGAGGTGTTATCAGGGGAACCACCAGGTGAGCGAGATAGCTGCAGATAAAGCTGCAAATATGATGGGTGAGCCGAGCTTTACCAGGTTCGTCAGCTCACTTTCCCTGACGTGCTGCACTCCACGCAAGGCACCCGCGTCCCGGGTGTCCTTTTGTTAAACGTGCCAACCACGTGTGGACAAGACCTGCTTTTGTACGGCTCTCTTGACTCAAACGTTGACTCGGTTTTATCACACGGCCAGAGGGCAATCTCGTCTGCAGATGCATGAGGGTGTCCAAGCAATGCACGCCACGTGGCCTCACCAGAACGATCTTGTTTCGTCGAGTAGGACCCAAAGCATCTCGCCTCCCTGCGCCATTATCCGCACAGCCTGCAAAATGTCCTGCTCCTTGAGTCAGGAGTCCGGAGACCGGCAGCACTACACTGTAGTCACTACACGCACTTCATACGCTGTGGGACATGCAGGCACCCAGAGCCCGCAATATCTCGTGCTTGGCAACAAGGGGACTGCACTGCTTTCGCAAAATGCTGGCTGGACTGCAAGTATCTGGGGAATAGCGAATTTACGCCGCATGTCAGGCACTGGCGAATGTGCAACATTAAGCAACGGCAGCACGACTCTGCCTAGCCCTGGCCCCCATATGCTCCAGCACAAATTCAGTCTTACCTGAGGAGTAATTGAGGCCCAGAGCCCGATCACAACACCGATCGCCGATGATTCGACAGACCGCTGAAGGAAGTGCGGTTCGCAATCGCGTCGCCGGGCCGCGTACCCCGGATCTTCTCCATCTTAACCCACTAGCCCATGAAAGAAGGGCGGCTGAAATCGCAAGCAAGGATCGCACGACGTTCTGCGCGCGCTCACCCAGGCCCTCCAGAACAAGCTCATCATGCAGGAACTGCAAGCTAGCAGCGATCTGCATTTCAGGCACATCGAATACTTTTTTGCCTGGGTGTGGGATGTTCGAACGTTAAGGGCACCATTCCAGACTGCACGGACAGGAGGAAAGGCGTCAGCTTAAAAACGCCAAGGCTGCAGGACGCGCACTCGTGAGACATAAAGCAGAGACGTAATCATTCACTCTCCGATATCGATTCCAGAATCGCTATCTTCCCAGCCTGGGTTCAAAACCAATCTTAGCAGGAAGATATCAATTTTGGCTCAGCTCTTAGGTGTGATTCATGTGATGTGCTGGTCGCAGCATCGGGACATGTCTGTTGACAAACACGCATGCTTGTGCTGCGCAAACGCGGCGGAGCAACCATCCTCCGCTGTCACCACTGCCACCTTGTGACTCCCCAAAGCAGCACATCAATCCAGTCACTACCACCGAGGTCGTACTCACATTGCGTAGCCGCAGCAAATCACAAATCAGCCAGCTTGCTGCCCTGTGCAAGAAGCTATCGTGATAAGGGCCAGGCTAGAACCAGAATCACCCCAAGACCATCCTTGGCTCGAGAGATCTCCTGAAACGAACAATGCTCAGAGTACTGGAAGTGATGGTTTTCTCCTTGCAGAAAGCACGTCCTCCCGAGTCCGATGCGGATCCAGGAGGCGGAGGCGAGGGCGCCTTCTTCAGAAGTCTTTGCCGCTCTCTAGAATCTGACTATCGCTCTGGACGGGCTGGTAACACTTTAGACCTCCGACTGCGCCACGCTGCACTGGTGGGACAAGGGGTTTAGGGTCTCTGTGCCTCCAGCACTACTTCAGTGGTGCCAGACAGGGGACAACAACAAGACTGCTGCCTTGTGGTCAAACAGCACAGATGCCAGAATCCTACTCTAGCACAATGATGACCTGTTCTGCAACCCGAGGACAATCAGATCCTCAAGCCGTCAAACCCTTGGAAGGGCACCGATCTGCAAAGCGCAGCAGCGAAGACAAGAGTGGGATCCTACTCTCGAGAGGCTCGTTGTTCAATCTATTGTCGGGTCATGTTTGCAGGCTTTCAGAATTCACTCCACTTCCCCCATCTACAGCCCAGTTGGCCAATGTGGTAGCACATGGATTGACTGCTGTGACTTGCTTACAAAACATTCTGATCACCTGATGGCAGCCCCCAGAAATACAAAAGCAGCTCATAGAACTACATGTTCCTGGCCAAGATTTAGCTCAAGCAGAGCTGAGAGGGCCAAGCTCGTGGCCTCGCCACCTGCTGCGGCGCCTCCATCCTCATTCCTTGCGAGTCCCAATAGATTGCTGGCAAGATGGAGCATACATGCCTGGCCTATGAACAACCTCCATCTGCCGAGGGCCGAGGATGCCGTCCTGCTGTGAGCTGTGAGGGTGAGGTACATCAAAGGCTTGGCTTGGGATTGGCACCGGGCAGCGGTCTAAACAGCAGGTGTCCATCATCCGGCTCGCCACAGAGGTGCCAACGCCCCAAGCCAAACCTGACCCAGCGGCTTGCAAGGTTCGACCGCAGTTGCATCCTGAACACTGTGACACAACCGCGCCGTCCATCAGCGCCCCTCGCAAGCCACCACCAAGTCCGCCAGCAGCCTACGAACATCCATGGACCCGTAGATACAGGTAGGGTAGCTCGTTGCCCCGCCCCGCATGACAAGCTAAGCTCAATGGGGTTTATCTAAGGCCGCAGCTGGCACTCCTGCCTGGCAACTCACACATGTCACAAGGCATAGAAGTGAAGTTCATATAGGATGCACAGAGATTGAAATAGATCCTGGCTATGGCAGTAGCTCATAGCAAGGTTTGCCAAGACAGTCTGTTCAAAACACTTTAGAATCTTGAGCTATTGTTCTGCAGTATCCGACAAAAAACCATGCTTGCGGGCTAGGATTTGCAAATAACAGCTGAGTGCCTTTGAAACCTCATGGTGTCTTGGCACTGCTGTACAACTGCTGTGGCCTCCGGCTGTGGAGCCACGGCACTGGGCTTTGGCGCACCAATGGCGGTTGTCTGAGCAGGATTCCAAGCAAGGCTATTCAATGCTGCCATGAAAACTGTCGCAAAGCGTCATCCCATATAGCAGCTATCCTGGGGCAAGTCATGATCAGATTGGGCTTCCACTGTTTCAGCATGACCACTTAGTTTGAATTGGTGATGACTCAGTGATGACCAGTATTTCCACAACCTATATTCTTCCTTCCTCCTGCGGCTTGCTCACACCCTCTTGCCGCAACACCCGCTACCGAGCATGAAGGCAAAGCCATGCTGTGGCATGTTCATGTTGTATGGAGGGTGGCAAAGCAAATGCTGTTGCGTCTGAAGATGAAACATCCGAAGACTAAGATCTTGCCAGCAGGGGCCTGGTTTGTTTCTTTGTTCCACCAGTAGGTCTGTCCGGAGGGATCTTTCACCTCGTGACCAGAACAGGTGAGTCAAACCTTTCGTCGCATCCACTGAAACCAGATCTGTCACGTAACCTCCTGCCATGGATCTGGCCCGGGCTTTGCGGCACCCACTGCTGTTGTCTGCAACGGAGCATGATTTTCAGTTGGGCAGCTTGTGAGGAAATACATGGCCTCATTGGTGCGCTTATTCCACCAGTAGGACTTTCCGCTAGGGTCCTGCACCTGGCCATGCTTCCAACTGCTTACTTCTCAAGAACAGATAGGACATGAGCCTCATGCCAATCATCCGCAGTCGGAGCAGGAGCTTTCGTAGCTGCCGCTGCAGCGGGTTTAGCTGGCAAGCCGCAAGGATTTTCTCTCGAAAAGCTGCCATCAAGATCACAAGAAGCAGGCGAGCAGTCAAATACCACCATGCGTGAGCAAGGCGGGCCACAGCGACAACACTACTTAGGGAAAAGCGATCAAAAAACTTTTTTAGGATCAACACGAAACTTTCTCCTCAGGACAAGAAATACTTTATGAACATCAAGAAACTGGTTCTTCCAAAAAACTTTGCTTTGTTGAAATCAAGAACTGTCTTCGGTTTCGGGTGCTCGTCGGCGATCAATCAGTTTGCAGATCAAAACACTTTCCGTGGATCGTGGGGGTCGGGGTCGCGATCCTCGTAGCTGTCGTCGCTTTTAGGCCCTCATCTTGGTTTCCTCTTTGTCAACAGTCACAGTGATCCACGCAATTGTCGTCGTGTTTGGACCCTCGGATCCTCTTGGAGTTTGAAAAGCGTCAAAAATCACAAGGATCGTGCGAGTCTGGGGCGCGATCCTCGTAACTGTCCTCGCTTTAGACCATCGGATCCCGTGGGAGTTTTTGAAGTGTCGACAATCACAGGGATGGTGCGAGTCTGGGGCGCGATCCTCGTGGCTGTCCTCGAATTTATACGCTCGGATCCTCTGGGAGTTTGGTCAGTGTCGCAGGGAAAGCGCGTGCGTCGCGGGGGCGCAGCCCCCCCCCATTTGCAAAAAAAATGATGCGCACAACCTTCCCCTACTGCAAACATGGTGATCTTTTCTTACCGAAAGCCTGGATGGCCTTCCGTCCTTCCTTCCTTTCCCTTCTGTCTTGTCTTACCTGCTTGCTTCGGTGCCTATACGCATTCTTTTGATCGGCACATGTTTTTTGTTGATGCCTTCTGCCTTTTTCTTACCTTTTTGTTTTCAGTGTCTATATTTCTCGCGAAAAGTTGTTGATCCTCAAGAAATGTTGCTCCTAAGACATGTGTTGTTGACGCGTATCCGACTACTTTGAGTCTCATCTTTGCCTCCAATCTTCCGCGCGAAGCGTCTAGCAATGGACACCCGCAGCATGAAGGCCGCAAAAGTGCTGGTCGGACAGCTTCACCGCGGAAAATGTGAAATCTCAGTCAACAGAAAAAGATCAGTAGGCTCATCAATCAAAGTACAGTCTGCCGACTGTGCCAATCTGAGGAGTTGGCCGGATGTGCTGTCGGGGCTGACAGAGTGGTCTAAATGCTGCGATCCACACATGGCTTTGCTTTGAGAGCTCAGAGGTGCTCGCATCGCCTGCGCCTTGAATCTCTGCACGTCAATTTAGCAAACGCTACTTGATGAAATCAAGGACGGTCGAGCCTGCTTACACCAGTCCGTTCAGCAAGACTGAAATGCTCAGCTGCTAAATTTGTGATTACAGGGGCCTAAAGGTGCGTGCTGCGCTCTTCTAAGTGTGTAGCCTGTATCCATGTTTTGTAAACTCCATCATCCAGCTTAGATGCTAGTTTATGTTTACGCATATGTAAGATTGAAGCTCAACGGAGCTATCCTATGCAGTTCTGAACCTTCATCTTTTTTCTATTTGGCTTTTGACACTTGCCGTGTTCTGCAGATGACACTGTTGAATGGCAGATCTGCTGTCTCCTCAAAACCGTCGGAAAGACGGATCGCGGTGACGATGCCAGTCTGGCATCCTTCCTTCGACGACAACACCAACAAGAGCAGACAGCAGCGTACTACTGGTGCTGCTACTGCCTACTACTCCAACAACTACTACTTACTACTCCAACAACAACTGGCTAGACTCTCCGCCGATGGGAAACAAGGGGCACAAGCCCAGAGACTTCTTTTGCGCCCCTCCACAAGCTTGAGAGACCAGGCAGGTATGACGGCACACACCTTGTGCCAACAGACTCAGGCGCCTGTAAGGTTGCGTTTACAGTACAGTGTTGCAGCCGTGGGCTTTCTGCATGATTCCAGAAACCATGCGCGGCATGCCTAGTACCGTGATTGCTGCCAATCTTGCAGCAGAAAAAGGGCGCTGCGAAAAAGCAAAGGAAGCCTGCAATCTCATGTGACCTACGCCACATCCATCAACCATCAGACGGAAGAGTATGGTGACAGCACCCAGTCCACGCAGAAAAATCCCAGCACGCAAATCATGCTGGCCAGTGATGTTGAAAATCACGACACGCTGCGAATGTCCGTTTGGAGCGCAGATCAAAAAAAAACACCCTTACGCTACACTGAAGAAGGCTCCGCAGCAGATCTTGATTTGAGCCGGTGCTCACAGTTCGTTAGGCCCTGGCCCGCAAGGTGTCTGGGCCGCTTGTGAAGATCTCCGCAGTCCTCTGAATGCCAGATACACACTCTACCCCTACTAGGAAATATTCCTCGCATAATTCAACTTTCATTTTCATCCGTTCAGGAGAGACATGCTGCCGCCTTCACCTATGCAGATGTCAGATGACAACCTGCATCACATCATGCATCTTCCTACAAAACGCTCTGCCCAGCACAGCCGAAGCTGTGGGGGTCTCACTTGCAAAAACATCCAGCCAAACAGTGGAACTACTCTGGAAACATCTTCCGAGCTGCCTGTGTCCATTGCAAACGGCCTTTGAGTCTGAGATGAGAACAGTCCACGTGGAGCACGCAGAAACAAGGCACGACCAAAACAAGCAGAGAAATCCACCTGCAAATGTGCTAAAAGTCACAAGCGGACATACCCAAACGCCCTCGCTATGGCCGCTGCCAACGCCTGGTGGTCATGCGGAATGAGTAGCAGGTCGTGAGCAACAGCAGCAGCAGCAGGTGCGGCGATGGAAGCGGCGACGATGGCACCAGCACACCAGCCCAGCATGCCCACCAGCATCAGCTCTGGCGCAAGCAGGGTCACGAGCACTTGCACCCTGCTCTCCATCACCACCATCCCTCCTCTACACCTAGGGCACTGCCAACGCTACTGCCACAAAATTGACGAGAATGAGAAAGCAGCTGGTGATCATGATGACGACACGGAAGCAGCATGCAAAGACACTTATAACAATGAACTTCTCACAGGCAAACACAAGCAGCTTCAATCAGGAAGGCAATAGCCAGGACATGCACCGCAACACGCTTTCGAGAGTTACATGGTTTACAAGGACGGTCTTGTGGCATCAATCAATAAAATTACATGCAATAGGCACTGTGAAGGCATGGACACACGCACATGCGCTACTGCACAACGAATGTGTGAATGGCAACTTTGCCATCTACAGCCGTCAGGTGGCAAGATTGCTGCTGGGAACTTGCAGGCTGAGGAGCCCATCAAAACAAACCAAAAACAACATCTGTCACCTGCCCTGGCTTCCGTGCTGCCAAATGCGTAAAGAGGCCGAAATGAGCTGCTAGGCTCTTGCCAGGTCGTTGGTCGACATGCCACTAGCTTGTTCTGCCCATCCCTCCAATTCGCATCATCGAGTTCAACGACTTGCAGCAATGTCCTGTGGCCACAGAAATTAAACACAAACAATCAGCGATTAGCGGCTGCTTAAGCCGTAGGCTGCAACAGCTACAGCTGCTCAGCATCCGGAAACCGGGAAAAAAGTCTGATCAGAATCACAATTGCGCGAGGCTGCGCTTGAAGCCCGCAACGGCACGGGCATCTCAAAGGACGGTCACCTGCAACACCATATAAGCAACAAGTTTGTAACCAATAGACAATGGGGCTTCGCACTGCAGTGGTGTCTTTAAAACTTTGCTGTTGCTGGGTGTTTCTACGGGACTCCAGCCCCCTCCAACTTCTCGCTTACAGCCAGATTGCAGCAGATGAACATGTCTCAAAAATACTTGGATGGATGCTACATACTTCAGCAGTCGGCTTGCCTTGCGCTGAAAGCTTCTGTTGGTAAGCCTCACAGCATCATTGCCGGCGTCGTGAGGTGAATTAGAACCGCTTTCAGACCTAGACCCCATGCCTTGTGGACTCAATCTGCACAGCATCAGCGTTCCCTGCCTTGGCCGTACTGGACCGCGATGCAAAATCATCCCAATGGCGACTACTGAGGAAGCTGCAGCGCGAAGAGCTTGCTCACAGCTTGCTGTTTGTGATCGCCCTGGGCGTACAGCAACTGACGGCCCCCTGGGCTCCAGAAACGCAAGCGCGACTCGAGCATGTTTTAGGCCTTTAAGCGCCGGACTGAAGACAACATGATGCGTGAATTGTCCATCGTCAGAGCCGCCTGAGAGCTGCTCAAAGTTACGAAAAACTCGGCTTTGCTTTGCTCTTTCATGGGCAGAAACAGAAGGAAGCATGTAGTGTCGGAGCCACGTCAGGTAAAGCGTCGCCAGTGTAAGCCGTCGCACTACATGTCCGTGCCCGCTCACTATGGAACCGTGAAGTACTATACTTACAGACCGGCCGCCTGCTAGAGATAACGCTCTGCACTGCGGAATAAACCTATGGAATCCCATGGAGATGGGCTTTCCTGACTGAGCTCACGGCACGCGCTCGGTGTGCGCCCCCGGGAGAAACAACTGGAGGAAGACTCCTAAGGTCCACGAATCAAAATCCTAAGACTAGCCTCGGCGGCCTGAGCTGATGGATTACATGATGATCTGATGATGCATTGCCCACTGCTCAAATCCGCTACAAGGACAACCTGGCTATAAGAAAGGCAAACGGTCATCCCGTGGTTGCAATTCGCATGGACGGAAGTCCTCTGAGTCTGAGACAGCTAGCGAGGGAGACCTGAAAACACAGCACAAAGATCCAGGTAGCACACCGCAGATGCTTTCTTCTTTGCGCATACCCTGAAAGTATCTCGCTTAGCTCTATGACAGCAGATCGTGGACGCCGCAGCAAAGTGGCAAGTGCTGTTGCAGACTGCACCTGGATCGAGAGCTTGAGGCGGCGCAGCTCTCCGTCAGCGGAACTGTTGTCGAGCTCCTCAGTCATCCGTTTGCCACGTGCACTCGCTCCTTTCACATGCAGGGCGATGCAAACTTATGTAATATCAACTCACTCCCCCCCGCGACCGTTATTCGTGTCAGCGGGGCTTTCCTTATCTGCCGCATGCCGGCGATGCTGAGGCAGACTCGTGTGAAGCCGCAGAAATGCTCTCCTACCAGCACCTCTCACAACGAGCATGTTGGTTCTGTAGTTAGTACTCTCTGCCAGTGTTGCTGCGTGCTGATGTGTCACGCATAGAGGGACAACTATGTCACAGGGCGGAGCTTCAAATGTTCTCAACTTTACTTGGACAGGCTCCGGAAGCACCAGCTGAGCAATGCAAATTTGGGCAGCCAAACTTGACCACCATCCAACATCCAACATCCTGAATGTTTCACTGGCACTTGTCATACTTGTCCAGCTTACAGCAAACTGCTGTCAATGCCTCGTCCTTTGTTGTCAGCTTGCTCCTGCAATGCCGCCCAGCTGTTCATGCTGAGACAGCTATACTTCAGGCATGTGTATCCATTTGGCACATTCCGGACTTATGCTGGACATTCGATGAGAAAGCCCTGAGACATGTCACGAGTGCAAATCTATCTCCTCCTCTGGATCCATGTTCAACCTCTCTCTGCCTTCGTGGTCACAACAAGAAGTCTGCGTCAAACAAACCCACACTTTGCGCATTCCCAATTAGCATTGAACGTTTAAGCGGGGGTTCGCATGAAATCATTCCAGCTTCGACTGATGTCTAGAGCAGGCTGTGGCACGGCACGCACAGTGGGCAAGCTTGGCCCGAAGCCAGCGCGACATCGATCCTTCCACTCCTTGTCAAAGAGTTCAGCAGTTTGCAACACGACCACGAAAAAAAGACTAAACGAATCATCTGCCGAGGCTGGCGGCCTCAGGCGCTTTCATGTTTCCCCACCCCAACGACAGCCAGGCAACGGTGCTTTCATGTGCCTCCTTTTGCAGGTGCATTCTGCTAAACAATTTACTTATCTGCTGTGCCGTCCTGCGGCGCCACGTGGTGCTGCTCCCCCAAAAGCGCAAACATTGTGCTCAACTGACTCTAAGACATGCTTCCTTCATGTGTCTTGGGCGGCTCCTGCGCTGGCGGTAAGAGTATCACAGCCTGGAATTATGAGAAATTAAGCTTTAGCTCCAACCAAGCTGGGTCGGTGACAAGTAGTTCGGTGGAGGCGTCTCCTGCTGGTTCCTGAAAGCACATGGACACCTCTTGACTGCACGGCGGCTCATGTGCTTCAAGAGATTTCAAGGTACGTAGAAACTTCAGCTCTCAAACCCATTCTTGTGCTTGAAGAGCCAATTCACGCTTTCCACTGAATTTGTTGCATTTCGAAACTCTGCTACCATCTGCTTGATCGCTTACTTTTTGCTTTGGTTCAGGGTCACTTTTGATGCATTTCTTTGCTTCACAAGATACATCTGCAGCGACTCCATACACTATCACCGGCAGCTTTGAAGTCCAGGAAATTGCTCACGCGGAGACTATGCTTTTCCTCAAAGTATCTGGTGCACCACCTTTGGTGAGACAAGCATGACGCGGAAAAGCGATTGGCAGGCGTAATCCAGGTACCACTCCGAATTTCCCCGGCACTCCTGCCGAACATTAGCTCAATTTTCCAACTCATGAGGGGCAGATGTCCATGTGCCCTTCTCCCAACAAAGCCACCAATCAGTGAGGCTTGGCTCCCACAGCCCAGACATGCCCAGCTTTGGCCCAGCTCTTCTGCGTGGCTCCCTCCAACTCTCCCTGGGCCTGGGCCTTAGAGGCAAGCAGTGCTTTGCCAACTTCCATGGCAGAAGAGTTCCCATGATTCCCATGCATCAAAATGTATCTGCAAGCTAGATAATCTGAGAACCCAAAAAACAGCAACTCAGCAAGGCAAGCACCATTGCCTGGAAAGTCGCCATAATCAAGCTGCGATGCAGACACAGCTACGGCTAATCTAGGAGTCTAACGAAGCCCGTCGCAGCTTCGCCCAGTCCTGTGAGCCAGAAAGCGACACGGCAGAGCATGGTGACCAAAAATGGAATCAGCAGTTCAGATCCTGCAATGCTCTTCCTACCACTCACATCTTCCAATGTCCCAGGCAACATGGAACCGGATTTGCCTTTTTGACTCTGGAGGTTGTCTCTTTCGTGTGAGTACGCAGTGCTGCAAGGTGGCACTTCTTAACAATACAGATCTGGAGCAGGATAAAAGTTTAATAGATACTGTTTCATGACTTTCGACCTCCGCAAACCTCAGCGAAAGCCGGCTGCTCACTCAGCACTACATGCTCTCAAAAGTCTTGACTCGGGCTGCCACCATGGAAGTTCGGAAGCGCGCTTACCCAACAAATATATAGCCTGCAGAAGCAGCTAAGCAAACTCCAGGATCAGAACTTCACAATAAACTCATCCGGGTGAAACAGGTGTCAGCATGAATGGGGCATCTGTAAGACATTCGAGCACAGCGAAGGTTCTGTCTGCCCTTCAACGAGGATTCATGACCCGCCATCGCCCACTCACGGAATGAACTATAAATCCTAGGCTGGCCACTGCGCAAGTTGATCCAACAGCTCGCGCAGCGAGAGCCGACATTGGAGAGGCCTCATGTCCTGCCTTTCGTGCCAGCAGAGACCAGCTTGATGCACTCTTACACCAGCTTCTCCACGGATGCCACTAGCTGGATTTCTATCTTTTAACACGGCAGACGCCATTGGGGAGGAGGGAGCTCCGTACGAACTCTCGCTCCTTCCCCATATGGCACATGAGAGCCTCTCAAGGAGCTGCAATCAGCTGTTCAACCATCTCTGCCTTTCATCCTGCCCTTCCCGATGCAAAAATGCAAAAAAAAAATCACTTTCTATCAAGGATTGCTTAATGGGCAGGATGACATCCTGCTCTTCGGCCGATATCCTGTGGCACTGTGACGATCAATCGCTGACGTCGTACTCACAGCTGGAGTCATCTCTTCTTGAGGGCCCTTGCAGAGCTGCCGAGGCTTCAACCACAAAGTCACCTTTTTTAGATTTTCTTAGTGTTGTCTGATCCATCAGGCTCATTGGAAAACTCAGCACATTGAAGCCACCACCTCCCGCCTTCTCCATAAACGTATGCATCTGCAACTCACTGCAACGCAGACGGGTTGCCAATCGCCTCCTTGGCAGACTTCAATGCACTGTGTTGGCGTCACGCTCCCATAGCACGATTTCCGAGGACCTGGTCCTAACGTGTTCCACCCGTTGCCACGCTGAACCAAACCAGCTTCAAACACCCTCTTGCATCAGCCCTCCTCTTGCCCATAAAGATATCAACTCCTCCAGCCCAGAAAGAAATCAAGTGCAGCCTGGACAACTATTGACCGGCCTTCACAGCATGAAGCCGATCAGTGAGACAACATACTGCTGTGGCGATAGAGCCTGTCGAACTTGCAACTATTGACGCCGCACAGCAAATTATCTGGATTCAGCAAGTTGGACGCTGTTTGCATGTTGTCGGAGTTGTGTAATCATCTGTCCTACCAGCGAAGACACACAGTAGCAAACATCGCCTTCCCGCTGTCCGCCCAGCAGCAGATCCCCACGCCCAAACCTTCGAAAGACACGGAGCACAACACAGCCAGCGAAAAACAAAGTTAACGAATCAATCTGCTTTGTTGAGTCTGTGACCAAAGCTGGACAAAAACCTGGCAGCTGATGGCAGCGGAACGGGTCAGGCTGGAGGAGCTGCGCGATTTATGCTCTTGATCGAAAGAAGTTCCACAGCACTGCACTGCACAGGGGTCCCCTGCCACACCCGCTCATCACGCACAGCTTGCTGGGAGTGGGCCGAAAACAGGAATTAACAGTAATGAATTGCCACGAACTTCGGCCGGGGTCACCAACAACTCTCCACTGACTATACAGAGTTGCCGAGTTGACTTAGGTTTGAGGGGCTTAAAGGTTACCGCAAGCGGATGCAAGGACACGTGCCAGGCATCGCGAGCCTGATGTCATCGAACAGGCCATAAGGTGAATCAGCTTCCGGAGCAGACAGTGGCTGGTAGCCTGGATTGAAGCAAATGTGCCTACCATGGCCTACCATGCTCTTGAATGGTTTCTTTGTCCCCAGCCAAGGCTGCACAGGAGGCCGAAGAGGGCGCCGGCCATGGCCACAGCAAGGAAGACACGGCCCAAGGCCACCTCACAAGGTACAGGAAAATTCTGCCCCAACATGCAGGACTTTGCCAGGAACCCGGCCAACAGCGTGTCCTTGGTTGCAGAAGAAAATCACCGCTTGTTGTGCAAAGTGCTTCGAAAGAAATTCAGCCAAAACTCGTGCGGTGGCAACATGGTGGGCCAAGACGGGCCAAACGTTCGAAAAAAACTGCAACGTCCCCCGCTTGCAATCAACAGCTCCCAGCTAAGTGTCTGATAGGGTCCACACCGTGCATTATGATGGAAATGAAGTGGGCGATAGCACTGGTAAGTCCAGGGACGATATGCAGGTTCTAAGCCAGGTCGGAGGTTTTACGTCCGACCAGTGGCAGCTGCAGTAAGCTGCAATTGGTTGCCTGCAGGCGTGACGCAGTGAGCTTTCTGGGCCCGCCTGTGGCAATTTCTTAGTTTGATCCTGGCCGCAAGAGTCTTTCGGCCTCGAGCCTCCACCACCCAGGAATAAAGACGAAGCAGCACTTGCAGGAGCAAGCCATGCGGTTTTTCTACGGAGGAACAAGGTCTCCAAGCCAGCTCTGCCGTCTATTTTCTGGTTGCCTTCATCCGTTTAGTGTCTCTGGAAGCTGTTGGCATCTCAGGTCGCCCCCTGCAGTTGTCATGAATAGCCTCATTGGTGCGAGCACTGCGCCCTTGGAAAGCCAACAAGTGTTCGCTAAGTGCTTGACGAGATTTGGGTCAACAGGCCTTCATCAGTGAAGTGACTTGACCTGTCAGAGCTGGACTGCAAGCTGCTTGCAAACAGGCTGGCGATCAAGCCGAAACAGATACCAGCCTGAGTGATCGAATCTTTGCCTTTGAGGAGTGCACTCTGAATCGTGGAATGAGATCTCCTTGCCTGGCCTCCATGCTAGCCAGTGCATCGTTGTCCATGCCTCGGGAAGAAAAATTGCAAAGAAGGCGTACTGCTACACAGGATTCGCCAGCATTCGCCGGACTGAGGAGAGGGCTCTGCACCGTCTTCATGACTGTAGGGAGCCCTTTGACATCGCTTGAGAAGCCGATGTTGGCAAAGAGATCTGACAAGATGCCATGTTTCACTGCGCTTGCTTCCCTGACCGAATTGCCTGCGTAGGGTATCCAGGGAATGTCCAGGTAGACCTGAATGAGAAGCTTCCAAGCTTGCATCACCAGGGATGCCTCTGCACCATCGCGATCACCGCATTCAATTTAGCTTCGGGCATGCACGGGAATGAGGCCAAGCCTTTGCATCTGGAAGCTCAACACGCACATTTAAGGTGTCACTACATCATTATCACAGGCTAAAGCCCCTGCTAAAATGCTTCCGAGCCACTGCAGTATTTCAAAAAGGTGAAACGCGGTTCGTCCGTAGCCACGCGGACAGAGGCTCACCTTCGCAAGCCAAGCACCACAATCTGGCCAGTTGCCGGGCGCGGTCTGATGCACCTTTGAATTTCCCGCCACTTGGTGCCATTCATCGGCGCTGCCGAAACCGGTTTTCACCTGACAGACTGCTCAGAGTGGTTTGAAGTCAATACGGTGATCTCAGCCTGTACGCCCATCCGTTCCGCTTCTTTGTTCACCAGTTTGATCATCTTTTTCCGCATGTCCTGCAAACTTTGGACTGTGTTGTACTTGAGTCAGGACGAACCTGCTTGAAAGCTTCTAGAAGAGGAAGCCAGCACGGGCTCACTTCGGCATAGTTTGTGAAAGGAATTGGCGACATCCCTCAAAATACTACCAACACACGATTTGCTCCTGACTACAGGCGTACCAGCCGCAATTACGGAGTAGCTAACTTGCTCAGGTTGAACCATCACTGAAGCTGCCCGTATTATGTAAGCAAACCGACAAGTCTAGCTAAACTCAGTCATCACGTGCCGAGTCAGAACCGGGCTGATGACAAAGACACCAAGCAAGGAAAGGGAATGATTCATAGAGTCATAGAGCGCTGCTGCTGCAGGCGCTTTGCTGTCAATGCGCCTTGGGCGCATTGTGATCCGAACCTTAGCTTTGGCCCACGTCAGCCCAAGCTTCAGCTTGGGCTCGTCCCTCTTCGAATCTGAGAACAGAGCCCATGTATGATGTCAGCAGATCTCTGTCGGCCATATTCTTGAAGAAACGCTTGCTCAGCAAGTCCTGCAAGGCAGCACACGAGCTAAGGTTTCAAGAAGCCTTGGATGTCTCAGGCTCCTCGGGCTGCTTGAAGAGCGGAATCGGAACGTGGCCATAGCCGCCTGCACTCAACACCAGGACCTCATCGAGATACCCCTGCATGTGTTTGGCTCTCAGGTCCTTCCCGTATGCTACGATGTGAAGCTGAGAGCCCCCGCGTTCGGTATTTCCTGCATCAGCTTGACAAGCTTGTCCTCATCAGTGATGAGCAAGATGAAAGACAGCAAATTGTCCCGCACTGCTCTGCATCTGACTAGCCTAGCTGCGCACAGATAACTTGTGACCATGTTGAACTCGTTGCGGAGGCAAGCTGGATTGGGAATGGCTCAGAACCCTCCCCAACCTCCGCGGTCAATGGAGAAATCACGAAACACATCAGTCCCAACTTCGTGCTCAGGACACATGATCCCTTCAGATTGCTTTAGAACATGTGATTCTTGTGCGAAAGGTTGTTCATGGCCGATTCGATGGTTCCTCCTGCAAAGAGGAGTAAGCGTTGCGCTCGGGTGTGCTTGGCTGCATCTCTAGACTTCGATGCGTTCTGGCGCAAGCTTCCCGTTTTGTCTTGTCCGTCCACTCAACTCTTGCATTTGAAGAATGTTGCGTCTGGACAGATCCCAGAAACGTGTTCCAAAAGCAAATGACTAAATAGACCACCATTCCAATCATATGAGCACCTTCTCTTTCCCTGACAGCTTCCACTGGTTGCAGAAATCAACCTTCATGGCAGTGATCAGCCCCAATGGCAATGCTCTCAAGGCAGCAGCGGCAATCGCAATGGCATTCAAGCAAGGATGAGATGAAGCAGCACACGACTCATTCAGCACACCAGTGGTACAGTGGACATGTGGCTCAACCTCGGCCAAGATTTTGTGCAGCTGAAGAGCTCGGCTGGAGACCATGCCAGTGTCGTGCTGGACGACAGTGATATAAGCTACAGTAGGCCTTGTGCAACCGACAGGCAGACGGTGACTGCTTTCGAAGCACACCGGCAGTTGTTAAACTGGAATGTACGCAGATGCTATTGCCAGGCCTCACCGTCTCCTTCAGCTTTGCGATCATCGCCTCCTTGCAGTGGCACAACAATATCAACAATCGAGCAACAGAATGAAACTAAGCAGATGAGCCGTCATGCCGAGACGTGCATCCGTTTTCAGAGCTTTCTGGTCAAGATTCGTACTCAAAGACATTGGCAACCCACAGGTCCACATAGGTCATGAAAACTGGGATGTATGGCCTGAAATATTGCTCCAAAGGTGACTTCAAATAGAATTGCACTCGAACTGATGCACAACTCGGTGGCAAAATCGAGTTGCCCGAACATGTCAGAAAGCTGCACACCAGGCTGCCGCCGGTCCCAGCCTGCGGCAAAAACTGTTCTTCATGCAATCAAGCTTATAACGTCCGGTTTGATTCCCATTGCAACAGGCAGTATGTGCGGTCCTTCCAGGAAGCGTGAAATCCACCTGTTTTCAATCCACGGGCCACAGTAGCCTTCACCACCTTAACTAATGGCACGGCTCAGGCATCAAGCTTAGTGTGCTCTCGGGGTTGAGTATCCGACAGTGATATGGATTTTTCATGTCTGCCATGAACTTCTTCGCTGCGTAGTCAAACCAAGGGCTCAGTGCCTTCAACAGGAGCTGGATTCTGGGGCATTGTGAAGCAATGTGGACATGCTTCGTGGGGCTTAGGCCTGCCGAATCTCTTGGAAGTGGAGCTCTGCATCATTGGGATATCGCAGTTCTTGCAGAGAGCCCGTGGAGCGCCGCAGGCAGTCGAGCCTCAGATTCTTCTCGGGCGTTCGGAACTTGAAATGACTTTGTGAGGCTTTTGGCGTTAACATGAAGAATCCCAGGCGCGCTGGCGACATGTTCGGCGAAGAAGTTGCTGCTTGAGCAGGCAACATCACTGCTACCTTGGGATGCTGCCTTGAATTGGGAATCACAAGCTTGGGTGACGAAGTGTGGCAATATATCGCAAGTAAGGTGCAGTTTGTTTGCAACGTCCAGCTTCTTCTGACCACGCATTCCACACGCCAGCCTTCTGCAGCTTAGCAATCTTGTCGTTGTTCGCAGCATAATTTGCATGGTAGGTTACACGCTCTGGCGGAGGTTCTTCCCACCCTGTCGGGTGCATGAAGGCGTCCATAGAGCAATACTGCAATGTATCTTCGTCTGATGCTTGGCAGGTTGGGCTTTGATTGCAGAGCTTGACGCATCGAAAACCGCCTGGCCCAGTTTTGCCACCCGTTGAACGGAGAACTTGAACCACTTGCCAAAAGATGGGCTGGTCCGCTCCAATGCGCTCTCCATGCTTGCGAAATGACTCCTCTCGTTGGCGATCCACCTCGGTCACGACAGCACCAAACAGGTCTACTATCTTCTTGTTGAGGCGCGGTGTGGCATAGAAGAAGCCAGTGTTGCCCCCGTCGCCGGGCACAACATGGCCTTTCTCCGGTGCCTTAGCAAGCTCCTCCTGGTAGACGTAGTCATACTTCTCAGCACGAATCAGATCTCCCAAATGCACACCTTTCGCAAACGGATCACCACGGAACATGTTGTCCGCGTCGGTGAATACAACGCCCAGGCCTGAAAGCCTCATGATGGTGAGAACCATGAACATCTTGTTCCGGCCCACACTGTCCAGCTTGGCACTGCCCCAGCCGTTCATGCCGCTGACCTTCTCGCCGATAGCCAGCAAGGCACGGTCAGCTCCAAGATTGTCGAACGCTTCCTGGTCATTGGCAACCACTGCCCAATCCAAGCCGTGCCTTTCCGCATTGCAGCGCCAGTTTTGGTAGATCGTGAAGTATGCATAGTTCGCTGCGGTGAGCAGTAACAGATTGGCAAACTCGGGGTGCGCCCCCTTATCTGCGTACACGCCCGCACGCCTCCGAGCCACTTCCAGGACGCGGCGTTCTTCGTTGTCACCAACATGCATCAAGTCATTTCTCGAGTCCTTGAGTGCACCTCAGTTGAGACACTCTTGCCTGGCCGAAAATAAAAAGCAATATACAATTCCATACTATTCCCCTGCCTCTCCTGAAAGAACACAAAAGAAGCATGCACACCACCACCGGGCAGCAGGATTTCTCTGTCTCTGACCACGCACCCCAGACTCCAGCAGTTTGCAGCTTTGCAATTTTGGCTTCGTTGGCAGCATAGTTGGCATGGTAAGTGACCAAAGTCTGTGGAGGCTCGTCCCACCCAGTTGGATGGATAAAGGGATCCATGGAGCAGTAATCCAGAGTGTCTTCGAACTCAGCGACACAGGTGGGATTGTGCTTACAGAGACGAACACATCTGAACCCTCCCGGACCAGATTTTCCGCCTGTGCTTCGCAGCTTTTGGATGACCTGCCAAAAAATCGGTTGGTCTGCTCCAAGGCGTTCGCCACTTCTCTTGAAAGCCTCTTCTCGTTGGCGGTCCACCTCTGCGACGACATCTTCGAAAAGAGACAAAACCTTTGCCTTCCTCCGCGGTGTGGCATAGAAGAAGCCAGTGTTGCCCCCGTCGCCGGGCACAACATGGCCTTTCTCCGGTGCCTTAGCAAGCTCCTCCTGGTAGACGTAGTCATACTTCTCAGCACGAATCAGATCTCCCAAATGCACACCTTTCGCAAACGGATCACCACGGAACATGTTGTCCGCGTCGGTGAATACAACGCCCAGGCCTGAAAGCCTCATGATGGTGAGAACCATGAACATCTTGTTCCGGCCCACACTGTCCAGCTTGGCACTGCCCCAGCCGTTCATGCCGCTGACCTTCTCGCCGATGGCCAGCAGGGCACGGTCAGCTCCAAGATTGTCGAACGCTTCCTGGTCATTGGCAACCACTGCCCAATCCAAGCCGTGCCTTTCCGCATTGCAGCGCCAGTTTTGGTAGATCGTGAAGTATGCATAGTTCGCTGCGGTCAGCAGTAACACATTGGCAAACTCGGGGTGCGCCCCCTTATCTGCGTACACGCCCGCACGCCTCCGAGCCACTTCCAGGACGCGGCGTTCTTCGTCGGTTCGTCCGGAAGAGGTCTCTGCCACCTCGATCTTTGGAGGTGAACTGATCAAAGGCGGAGCTGGACTCGGTCTGGGAGCTTGTGGAGCTGAAGGCGCAGCCGGAGCTGAAGCAAAAGGAAAGGAAGCCGGAGTGTCTACTTGTGAACCGGGCAGCAGCCTGAGCAGGGTGAGCATCCATACCACATGTAGTACATGTTTTCACCATCAACTGTCTCGACATAAGTATCCTACGTAGGAGACACACAGAAGGGGAAAGAAGGGGAAACAAGGGGAAAGGAGGAAAGAGGACAGGGAACCCAACTAAGCAAATGTGGTGTAACTCACGTGAGGCACAAGCAGGTCTGACAACCCAACCGCCAACCAGCAGGTGCATTGGAAGGGTTGTGCCGATCAAGCACTCGACACTCTGGCTGGCATCTCAAGTTTCCCTATGGCCATGGGATGGCCAAATTTGCAAACTGTAGCAGCCTCGACAATGGAACACAGCTAAGCTACATTCGCAGCCTGTCACCATTCCATGAATGTCAAGGCACTTGGAAGCCGCGCTTGGTCCAGGACTTGGTGCCTCGACCGAGGCCACTGGGTCCAGCCGCTGCAGGAAGTCTGCCTCCATGTCTGGAAAGAATTGATGCATCTCACACATCTCAAATATGCACAGCCTAAGTTCAGATCTAAGAAGCGGCACCAGCCTCTCGGCTGGACTGCAGCACCACAAGCAGCACCAAGGCCGAGATGCCGCCGAAAGCTGCGGGCCGAGCACACCTTGGAGACCCGAGCATCAAGCGGCAATTTGCTGCAAGCCATCAACCAAGATCAGAACCCAGAATCCGACTTCCGTCGCGCCATGCGCGTGAGACTGCCATGAAGCTGCGCAGAAAGGCGGCAGGCTTGTCAAGGTCTTTGAAGTGTGCAGGCAGTGCAGGCTGTTGCCTGGGCAGACCTATTTCTGTTTGGTCTCCTGAGAGGGCAAAACCTCGCAGCTACCAGGTTACCAGGCTGTGGAACTCGGGCTTCAAATGCTTCTTCCGTGTGTTCACGCCACATCATTCTCCCAAGCCCTGGCAATGCGCGAAAGCCGATCGATCCGATCGATCCTGTGGCAGCATGCCAAAGAACAGCAAAAGCCGCGGTTGAAGCGCTGGCAAAAAGCTATCACGACACAGGATGCTGTCAGCAGAAACGTCATGAAAACAAAGCGGCAACTCTGAGTTTCTCGTCGGTTCCCAGTGTCCGCATAGTTTCAGCGGCCACAATCCTGCTACTAAGTGAAACACTGACCGAAGGGAGCACCAACAGAAGCGATTGCACCTGTGCTTGACTGGACAGAACATTCCTTTACACTGGCTGAAGGCAAGCTCTGGCTTCTGCGCTGCTGTTTCCCAAGCGACCTGCACGCCCCGCTCACGACCACACGGACCCCTTGAAGAACACCTCCACTTATGGGAAGGTCTTCTTGGTCATGACCACATAAAAGTCCTCAGGCGAAGGGCTTGTTCTGAGACAAAATTCAAAGTACCCCTGCTTTTCCATGCCTCGGCCGTGATTTCGCCCTTGGACCTTAGACAGGCATTCGGTGCAGCCTCTGTTTTACTCATGCATGGTTTCCGGTAGATGCTCTCGGTATCTCTCGGTCCCAAGCTCATCTTGGCAGGCCCTTCGCACGATCTCTGTAATCTCCTGCCGCAATCCAGTGCCGAGCCAATTGCTAATTCTACTCGTACAGCTACGCACGTGTGTCTGGGAGAGACTGCACCTGGCTAAGCATCTAAGCTTAAGAATCCCTGGTCTCCTCGTTGGTCAACCGCTCGCCTAGCTCTTTGCAGACCTTGCAGCACAAGCTTCTCAACATGACGAGACTAGAACGCCTGATGCGCAAGCTGGCACAAAAAAAGTCGCTTGAGAGTTGCTGCGAAAATGAAGCATCTACAGCTTTAGCTAACGCACTGGAGTGGCCTTCTGGACATCCTTCACATCCTCATGCTGAAAAACAACAGGCTTATCAAAAAAAGCCCCTGCATGATGCGCGCTGAGCAGAATAGCAAGAAGCACTCATGAAATATCTCAGGAGGAAGCTATGTGGCCTTTGCCTTCAACATCAAACAGTCTGAAGATCTTGTCGATTTCCTCCTGTGCACACTGAAGGCCAAGGTGAAATTTGCAAATTAAAGGCCACATGGCAGAGCTGCCCTCTTCCTTGGTATCCTTCTCTTCCTTCCCCTCCTTGCCAGACCTGTGCAACAAGGAGCAGCGACCTGCGGGCAACCCTGCATTGGCTAAGCAACGACACATGTTCTACAAGCACAGCGTAAAGGACCCCAAGGCCACAATTTATTGCCTTCGAGAACCTTCCGCTCAGCATAGTTCAAATAGCTGAGCTGCAAGCATCAAATCCAGGAATTCCTCGAAATCTAGCGAAGCATTCCCATCCTGCCGTCGCTTTCACGTGGGAGATTTGCTCGAAACTTTTCTAGAAGATGGAAGGGCTGAGTGGAAGATGTGACATTCCTGTTCAACTATGACCCTGCTTCTCTCAAAGACAGCAGGAAAGCTAGCACAAGCTGGGCTTGACATCGAACTAGCCAGCAACCTGCCGCACGGAACACTCTGGCCATGTACGCTGGCTTGGCCTTGTCAAGTTCAGCAAGCATGGTGAAGATCCTGGCCATTACAAAATGCATTGGGTGGGTCAGCTGGGAAGGCATACCTGATTTCACTACCGTTGCGACCCAACTTGCACAATTGACTAGGAGGCTTATGCACAGAACAGAAGGTGATGACGGTGACAAACTCGAAAAGGGCGTATGCTGCAACTGCAAGACATGGATGAGGCCACGTGTCGTTCTTGCTCTCGTAGCCCAGTGACTGCATGGCCGCCTTTCCGATTATTACCAGGACTGGCAGGCATCTACAACACCGGCGTGGCTGTTGCCTTAAGCTCCTTGAGATCAATCTCGCCCGACTGATCAGTGTCAAAGAGATCGAAGGCCTGCACAACCAGACAAACATGCAGTGCGCGCTTCTCCGCAAGATTCCATGGTAGCTTCCAAAATGCGCTGTTTTCACCTGAATCGCATAAGGGTGGTGCAGTGGTATGAAAGTTTAGAGGAAACAAGATATCAAGGACATTAAGCGACTAGTACTTAGTACCCTTGACATTCTACTTGCTACATCCTGCACCCCTTCTCAGGGAGAAGGACAGCCATCTTCGGACCCCCCAACTCCAAAAGGTGAACATGGTGGCGCAGACTTCTTGCAGCAGTTGCCGAGATTCAGGTCGTAAGAGTCGAAATAGTCTAGCCCCAGAATTCATATTCAGCTCCGAAGCAAAACCTTCAGCAAGAATAAATCCTTAAAACTGGGATTAAGTCATCATAAGCAGGCCTTCAGAAGCTGATTTTATTACCCAAATCAGACTTGACATAGCCTGTTGCACCTTTACCCGAGGCATAATGGGACGACTGCCAACCAACAATGCGGGCTTTTGGAGGCTTGCAAGCATGATGCCAAGAACTGGGCAAAGCTGCAAGGGCCTACAAATCATGACGCGGCCGGATGAACTTCTTGTTATCTTGCCAGCAGGCACGAATGTGCTATTCAGCAACAAGGAACGCGCATGGCTTTCAAGTATCATTCGGCCAAGTCCACTCAGAGGCATAAGTGCTTTGCAGCTGCTTCAAGCCATCAAAGCGTGGAACGCCTACTACAATCAACTATAATTGTCTACGATGCGGGCAATCCTGGCCATGCAGAAACTGATGCATGCGAGTCCAAGCACAATGAACATCCTCTTCTTCGGCTTAGCAGGGAGTCCCCGCAAGTGGAAGCTGGATCAGACTGAGCCACGATCACTTTCAAGGCAGGATGAACTCCTTGTAGTCAACTGGCACCAGGCGACAGGCTCAGGGATAAGAAGCACAGAGTCTCAAGATCACGACATATCACGACGACTGCACAAATCACCACGGGCATGACAAATACCATGGCTGCACTGCACGTTGCACAATACGTTGCGCAACACACGCTACCCTTCAATTTCACGGCAGACTTGAATGACACCACTGCCGTGCGTGCTTCGGTGCAAAGTAATACCTCCGTGGGGTCTTCTCAACAAGCCGGGCGAACGTTCCTCGCCCTCTCCACCGCAGGTCAACCTCACGGAGTCAAATCTCATGGATCATTGGAAGAACTCCGGGATTTGCACTTACACGTTCCGTCAGAGACGAGGTGCGGAAAACTTGCGCCAACAGCTGCAAGCGTGTCAATGGCCCCAATCACCTGGTCCAGCAGTCACGCTCAGTGGCTCCCCAATGCTTTGACAAATCAACGTGATTTGTTCAGTTCCTGCAGGCTGCGATATGCCAAGCATTCTGAGCGCGTTGGCTTGGAATGCCGCTGAGGTGCAGTCACCCTCAGTTCTCATCTTGAGTGTTGGAGTACACTTTTCTCTTCTCAACGCTCTAACGTTGTGCTGTGTCCAAGTTCCTAGGAATGTCGCCTAATAAAGCACTACTTGAGAACTTTCAACCTCAAAAAATTGCCTGAGGCCGGATCTTTCACGTGGGCTTTGCCCGTGCACTTGGATGCGAGCGCCGACAGGAACTGCCTCAGCTGCAAAATGACCTATAGCTTTGTCTGCACATCTCCGGAAAGCTGGATTGCAAAAGAGCTGCCCAGCCCCTGCGAAGGAGCCGATGACACCTGTACAGTGTTCTGTGGAGGACTTACTAACTTGCTTATACATGCACAGTGCAGACTGCCTGTCCTGCGGAACATTGCAAAGGCTTAAACTGCATTCTAAAACTAATCCCTAATCTCACGACATCAATGTGACTCTCGCTTGTGCCGTGCGCTTCACGCCTGCCAGGTCCACTGCACACACCTTCTGACCGCCGGCCCCATTGATCTGCACAGGTTCAGCAGTGCTTGGTATTGCACAAGCCATAGCGAAGGGCAACAACTACTGTGAAGAGGAGATCAGCCCTGCATTTTGTTACAGCCTCCTTCCACTATCTAGCCAACGTGCCTTGAAGTTAAACTCTGTGCAGTCCTGAACGCCACAGTTTCATCGGCTTGCTGAAGTTTGCACTCAAAGCCCTGCCGCCCCGTCCTTTGAACCCGCTTCAATTGCCAGGCCCATGCGCCCCAACAGCTGGGCCGCCTCAAGTCCAAATTTGTCAACACTTGTTTTCTGGTGCTGCAAAGTAAAGTGGGGGTCCCACGCTGGCACCCGCAAAACCAATACTGCATTGAAGCCTTGTGTCGCGTTACTTGGAGGCTGACCATGTTGGAGTTGAAGACACACTCTGCGATCTCAGCTTCTCTGACATGTGAGACTGCCTGCATCCAAGTTGTGAAAAGAAAATCATCCGAGAGAGTAGCGGACAAAACATAGCTACTGGACTGACTGGACAGGGGTCTGGAACAGGATGATTGGCAAAAAGGTGCGTGCTCCAAATGAGTAGTTTGTCAAAGCAACAGCCTGCCGAGAATCGTGGAAATCCACGGACATGATGAGAGGTCTGGCGTCCTTGTTGTCCTATGGCCTATAGAACCTCTTGCTTCACCTGACGTTTCTGACGGACGTATTCGTTGGGGCCAACAAATTCTGTTTCCACAAATAGTGATGCAGAGCCTGATCATCCAGTGCACCCCGCCCAGACCATTCCAAGGGATGTCTCCAAGGTTTATTGCAGCTTTCCAGCTGACTCCAGAACTACATGTCCGTAGGAGCGTCCCTTCCCACCCTCCCCTCGAGTTCGGAAGTGACTGGAGGGGAAACAAGAAAATCCAGCGCACACATGAAGTGAAACGCACTTGTGCTGCCCCATCTTCAACCCAGGCAGCTATGAGTAAATAGCTGCAGCACACATACATAACCATTCAAGCTCATGACGTGCTACGGGCAATCAGGCACGCATTGCAAACAACAACCCTCGGACAAATGGAAAATACACACATACAATTGTGCGACCTGAATCCCACTTCGATGCACTCTTCGCGCGCATCCCGCCCCCCTCCTTTCGGTGTTTTCGCCCTGAGGGAACTCCGGGCAGGTTTCAGGACAAGTAGACTCCGAGGTTATGGGCTGGTGCCTAGGAGCCGGTTTCCACGCCCCCCAACCCTCAAAGGTTTGGGTTTCTGAGGTTCAGATTCAGCTTTCGGGTGCTTCGCATGTCCGCCAGCCCACCTCGAGCCAGGCAGGGGAGGTGCGCGGTAGCGCTAATATTTCTTTGTGAAACCTTTCAGGGTGAGCAGGCCCTTGTTTTTAGCGTGTCGTCTACTCTTTCGATGGTGATACTTCTTGATGCAACATGTTGCGGCACCACGGAAGAGTTGCCCGGAAGGGAGTGAATCCAAGATTTAAAAAAGACTAACTCACGCGTTTATCTTGTGCGGCGGTAAGCTTCGAAGCCCCTGACTTGGTTTTGTATTAACTCTGGAATCAATTCCTCTGCGCGTTGCCCTTTCATGAAGCGGCGGAGCGCGAAGGGCCTCTGCCTGTCCAAGAACGGCTGCCAAAATGCCTAAAAAGCTGCCGTCTGGCATCCCAAACAGCCTGCACGGCCCCCGAAACGGCACCCCGAAACCGCATCACGACAGACCCCTCGTCATGCCGATTTTCGCGAAACACGGCCAAATTCGACCAGTTTCGGTGGTTTCCCCTCCCGCACACCCCCTTAGCACGGATCAGCAAAGCTGGGCTCAGACAAAGCTTAGTGGGGAAGCTTTGGTAACTAGAAGCAACACTCAGACGATGGGCAAAATTATCGTGTCCATTGGCTTTATGCATCCATGGGGCAGGTTTGGCCGCGAAAAGAATTAACTCTGGGTTTCATTCTTTTCGGGTTGCGTCTGCAAAGTTAGATCGGGATCGAATTCTTTCCGGCTTGGGTTTCCGGACAGGTAGCGCTACAAAAAGAATTGATTCTGGATTTACTTCTTTTCGGCTTGGCCCTAAAGGACAAACAGTGCCAAAGTAATGTCGAACCAACTTATCGTTCCAAGGGCACTCTGACAATCGGAGAACCTGAAAGCTCTAGGATTTAATTCCTCCTCAATGGGTTTCTCGTCCAGCGGCTATGGGGACCTGAAACCTCAAGAAAAAGAGTTAACTATCACTGACTCTGGATTTAATTCCACCCCCAGCATGGAGTGTGGGGAACCTCAGCAGGAGGATTTGAATCCAGAGTTAATCCTCGCGAATTCTGAAAATTATCCGACAAGATTAACTCCGAAGTTCATCTAATTCCCTCGAATGCATTTCCACGCAACCTTTCATCGAAAAGTTTAACTCCAGAGCTAATCCTACTGAACTCAGTAATTCACTGTGTTTCAGAATTGCCCCTTCGCGATGCAAGGTTCTCTTGAGGCAGCCGATTCACGGCAAAGGGTTCTGCACTTACCAAATTGCCAAGCATGGGCGAGTAGCCGCCTAAGCTTCCCCTGCAAAGTCCTGCCTGCTCTGCCTGCCGTGAGCCCTATTGCGAATTTCAAAGCTTGCGAGCTACCATGCTGTGCTGAAGGCCTTCTTCCACCACTCCACGTCTGCCTGGTCAGCAGCCGTTGCTACATGCGGACGACAACTGTAGAACTCTGATTGATTCAAAAAAATGCCCCGAATCTGTTCAGCACCGGAATTCTGAATGGTGGCAACCGTTTGCTTGGCTGCGCTGCAATCGCACGTAACAGATTCCAGAAGAACACTTTGCAGTTTAAAGCCGTTCTAGATGGAATGGCTTCCCCTACGACGTTGGACACGGCTGAAATGAATGCAGCTGATTCCCGCCTCTTGGCGAACTTCCACAGGGGAGGCAGGCCTTACAGTAGCGGTGTGTGAGCGATCTCAGGCTGTGGTGCACAAACGACATGCAGCCAGTGTGAGCTTCTGACAGTTGGAAAAAGCCTTAGGAACACGTGGGCATGTGGATAGGCCAGCCGCTAAAATCTCCCAAGCAAACAGTTGACGGCTGCTTGCTGCTTCATCTCGGAACCAGACTTTCGTTCCATCGGGCCTATTACAGAGTGTGTAAGTGCAGACAGATCATGACAGATCACCGACCAAAAGCCGTCACCGGCTGCACGTGCTGCTGATGATTTGACCCATTTCTGCCACGTGCAGTAGCTGTCACAGGGCAGTTGCGTAAAAGTTTGTCTGGCGGTGCTAGCACCGGCACTGAATGCGTTTGCTGTCCTGTGAATGTATCACAGTATCGGTTGCGGAGCCCTTTCGCTGCTTGATCTCCATCAACTAGAATGCGTATGCGCGCAAAACACCACGACCAATGCGCTGGTACAGAGCAATAACACTGAAGCGGGATCTGTTCTCTGTCATGCGCGTATGCTAGTGCGGGCCACCGGATCCTGGCTACATGTACTGAACCTGAAGCTCCTGGCATCCCGGCCTGGCGGGCTCTCCTGAACTCGGTCAGCCGCCGCTCGTCCAGGCCAAGCTCCTCCCTCACGCTGAGCCGGTACTGGGCACGTGACCACAACAGCAAAACAGCAGTTGCAAAAAGGTCAACCTGTCAGCCTCACCCTCATGCAGCATGACTACGTCCAGCACAAGTCACGCTTATACAAAAAATTGCAAGGCCAAGTTCAGCAACAGCTAATGCCCAAGACAGACAAGGTGCTGCTGATTGCTCGCAGGTAGCGTGCATTGTCGCGCTTGCAGCGGCAATGTTTGCCAGCCCAGATACCTCGCAGAGTCCCGGCAGTGCTAGTTCCAAGATTTCAGCTGCCTGCACAATCCCACAGCAATATCTGAGAGTTTTCCAGTCTTGCTTTCCTGCATGTTTACAAGTCGTCTCAGGGCGGCTCCAGGCCGCTGGAGTCTGCTGCACAGTACGCCTTTCAGCAAGGCACTTGATCCTCTTGCTGTGAAAAGAGAGAAGCCCGATGCGGTATCCGGAACCCGAAGCTGCTATCGTCTGGGAAAAACTGATCTCACGTCACTGCAGGCTTACGGGCCAAATGCTCTGATGCCTTGTTGTTGAGGTCCTTGGCACAGTCCGAAGCGCTCGCAGACAGAAACCTGAGTAAAAACACATTGCAACAGCAATGCGACAGTTGATCATGCCCGCGGCATTGGTGCGCTAGGAAGTTCATCACAGAAAATAGCCGCCAAAGCAGGAGGTGCATTGAAATTGTAGCATAGCTGGATTTTGATAGCTGGATTTTGCATGTGCAGGAGATCTGGGCCACCAAACGATGCAATGTCTGCTGCAGCACCATGCAGACCTCCAAAACATTATGCTGACTGCAGTTAACATACGTCAAGCTCCAACCCCACTCGTGAAAGGAAATAACTCATCGTGATGCTGCCAAACCTCTGCAACTGGCCTGCAATTGCCGATGTGCAGACCGTCTTCTGCAAGCCTGTGTCTGGATTTTTGCACTCCTGCCGGACATTGATCAAATATCTGACTGGCTAGCATATCCTGGATATCTGCACAGCTACAGAAGTATCCTTGCTCGCCGCATTGATGCCTAAGCCGGTGAAGCCTGTTCCGGAGCCCTCTTCACACCACCAAACCAAAGCTGCAGACAACAAGCAACAGCGGGAGCAGTGTATTTCTGGCAACGGCCTATGCTGTTCAGAGCGGCCCAGACCTGCATGTTTCCATTTACATGTTGGTCTAACTCTAACCCACTGCTGTTGGTAGCAAGAATTCAAAAGAACTCAAGGTAAGAGATATGTAACTTGGGCAGATGAGGCTAGAAAATGTCAACCATGGCGGAACTCTCGCTTCGGAAGTCGTGGAGGCACGGGCTGTAAAACCTGAATGGAGAACTGCTGAGAGACGGACGTCGAAGGCACAAGTGACGTATTTTGCCTTGACCAAGAGCATGTGCAGCAGACATCATCTCAGCATTCCACCGCGGAAAAAAGGCAGGGGATCTGGTTCTCCCATCTTGCACTGCAACCTGCCTTATCACCACTTCCAAAATACTTTGGTGACGGGCGGGCATGGCACCTCGTTCAAATTTCAGGCGTGATGGCGAGTGACAAGTCTACGAATACCACCGCATACCAGGTCAAAGAATGTCCACTTGGCGCAAGCTGCTGTATCAGCACATGTCAGAGTGTGAAGAAATGATAATTTAGGCACATATGCTTTTTACATTTTGATTGCCGTCCCTGTCTCCAGCTGCTTTGCAAATCTCTGAGCGCCGGTGCCGTATCAACAAGGACGTCCAGAAGACCCACGCAAGCCGCACCATGGTGCGACTAGCTCAAGGACTCAAAAGGCTTAAGGCTTAAGACAAGCAAAGATGGGTGTGAGTAGCCGGAATCAGGCTTCTGGCTTGGGAAGGGGCTCAAAGCCTCCAAGCCCGCAGAGCAGGCATGAATTGTGTTGCCCTATTTATGCCATGAGAACGGCTGCGCTTTATGTCTCAAGCCTTCCAGCATACTAGGCGAACCGATCTGTCATCGACATCAACATGCTGTTTGAATATGTCTGATTGTTCATGTGTGTTCATGTGTGTTCTTGTGTTTTCGCCTCAGGAGCCTTGCAAGTGTCGGCCGAGTCGTCATGTCAACGAGGCACTCGACATTCAGGATGCAGGGATTCCCTTTCCACTTTCCACCTCCACCACTGGCTAAACAGAGTGTGCACGATGCCTCTTTGATTTCCTCAATCCTCGGATGACACAACGTATCCTGAATGTCTCCGAGTGGATTATGGTCGCTGTGCATACCTCACAGACCATGCGAACAGATATAACGTAAGGCGGGAGCTCATCCTGCTTCAGACCAGGTCTCTCATATTTCCTAGCCTGCGGGAAAGGATGCCTGAGGCAGACAAGCTTGAACCTTGACCCACTACCCACCTGGAAGTTCTGATGCTTCGCCTTGGAGGCGTGCATGGCCTGCGCTTGATGTCATGTTTGCCCAGTCAATGCTCGCGCGAAATGTTCCCAATGTATACTTGGAGGAACAAATTCGATAAGCACATGCCATGGCACTGAGGGCGCTATGCTGAGAAGCTGCAAAGCTGAGCAGGCGGCTAGGCTCGCACCCGATGGCGTGCCAAACTATCGCGCTTGGACCGAGAGCAGGTAGAAAACTCTGGACAGTGCAAAGAGCTCAGCGTGTTGTATGGCGGATGCAGATGGTTACACAGCAGGAATGACAGCATGGGTCCGCCAGCACAGGTCGACGGAGTCGACGGTAGCAAGATCTCAACAGGAGCAAAAGGCTTTTTATGTGAAACGAGGGACGAGGGCGAGCCTTGGCCATTTTTTGGCCTCGGCCGAAACTCACGACACGGATGACACGGCCGTGCTGGCCGCATGCGAGATGAGCGGCTGACGATAAGAAGTTGCTATCCAATATGCCTCCCAGTTCAGCGATGACTAAGGAGGAGTGTTTAAGGACTGGTCGAGTGCATACTTCTTCTCTGGCAGTGCAGCAACAATATCAAGCATCAACGGCAGGGCATATACATGAGCAACATCCCCACGTCTGAAGCTCTTACACTTTCGAATGATGCAGCAACGACTGCTGGATTTCGTACATGAGCGTGAACACATGACATCCAGCAATCCAGCGCATCTCTGTGCTCCACACGGAGCAATGAGAGACAAACGCAATCCGGGAAGGCAGAAGTTCGGGCCAGCTCAGAAAGACTCTAAGTTTGGCTTCTAGCAGGCTAGCCATTGAAGTGAACAAAACAAGGAAGAATAGAAGTTGAGTCAACAGAACTGCGTGCTCCAACTCACAAGGCAATTTGTCGTGGGCTCTAGACCAACAGCAAATGGACGAAATCTTGCACCACAAAAGGCCCGCCATATTACGGCAATCATTCCTAAGGCTTCGGTAGCGCAGGATGGTGCAGGATCTCTCTTCCGTCAAGAGGATAATCAACCATATCGGATTCCATGCCTTGCTAGCACAACACGGACAGTGATGTGTGGCATGAGGGTGTTGGCGGAGTCGGGCGCCAAGAGTCGGAATAAGAAGGGAGAGAGTCGGGAACCAGGAAGGGTAGAGTCG